GCCAACTCTCGTCAAATAGCCACTGGAAATTAATAAATACAAACCTATAGGAATCAATATTGACATGAATTGGCCTTCTCAATTTTGATGGGACCACCGGAATTATTTTTATCTATTGTGGACTACTGGAAAGTTTCACACCAAATACTTCTTTTTCGCCCGCTCAGCAAAAAGCATACGACGAAATAGTACATTACGATACAAGTGCGGGAAAGTAGAATCTTGTCTCGTGTGGCTGTTTACCCTCGCTTCTGTCGAGTGAAAACGACACGCAAGACAAAAATCCACTTTTTTTACACTCCGCGCTTGATAGTCCGGAAGCCGAATACTATTCATCATCGCATTATTAATTTGTAAAGTTGATTTGAGTATTCACATTCAAAATGTTAAAATATGTAATTGACTTTGGGGAAATAAATAATGCTTGCACTCTCCGTCATGATCTCATGATCTCCGAAATTCCACCCATAGAGGATTATAATGTCGTCTTCATCGAGGGTGGAATGGTATGCGAGACGAGAAACTCTTTCCCGAACATGTGCCGTACCGTATTTTTTTATACTCCGTGCTGAAAGTGCGATTTTCAACGCACGTTTATTGCCGAGCGTGCGGGAAAAACGCACTTTCCGCACGGAGTGTCGAAAAAAAATTATTGACTCAATTTTGAGTTATCTTATCATGCTAATAGGTAGTCTCGGATAAACTTTGATTAAACTAGGCTGATTTTTACAAATGCATGATCATATGATTTTTTAACAAATTATTCTTTGTACATCTGTCTGTAAGTAAACGTGAATACTTTTTGAATATTATTATCAAATTTGGTCAAAGTAGTCCAATTTTTATGATTCAAAAAATAAAATTATTCTTATTTTTCACACATGCGACTATTTTACGTTACTTTCACGCAATATTGTTCGTTAAAACAGCTGTTTATTTATAAATTGCCCACATGATCTTTGGTAGCACAGGTAGAAAAACTCGGAAGAAAAGGTCGAGAGCATTGACGGGCTTGACTTGGAACTCAGCGGGGGTTCAACCCTCGCTCGACTTTTTCTACCTGCGAATCTTGAGGTCATTAAGTCAACACGTAAATAAATAAATGTTTTAACGTACACATTTTTTAAACAAAGCATGGAGCAATGGCTTCAACATACAAAAATAAGCACTTTTGGCCTTTGAATCTAATAATCACCTAACAAAACTACGGGCCATAATAGGTAGCCGCTTGACTGAGCCCCCAGGAGGTCTGTTCTTTTAAAAGCGTCTATCTTCGTTGATTATATTAAAGCTAGTTTTAAGAAATAATGTGTAATAGAGTATAATTTTGTACTAAGATCACTCTAATCATTTGAATATAGTATATTAAGTTTAATTATGCTACGAGAAAATACTTATTAATTACTTATTAATAGATTGATTCGAAATTAAATCGAACTTTTATCCATAATACTTAAACATTTTTCGATATTATCATGTGCAAAAACTATCTATGTATTTATCAATAATTACTAAGTATTAATACTGTTTGTTAAAATAAAATAATTTGCGGACATACACTTGCATTACTACTACTATCGTTGAAATATCCCAAATCATCGTCATCGGATACTATCAATATGTTCTCCAGCTTCTCATCTTCCGTGATTTTCAAAGAAATAATATCTAAGATCCAAGTATATAAAATTATATATTACATGGAAAATAAAATCGCATCCTCGTGATAACAGACTTGCATAATAAAAGAGAAATTAATCACTGAAAAATTTGTAAAACACTTTTCATAGATTCTTTTATAGAGATGTTTTAATTTGCACCATATTTTGGTATTTATATTAATGCAACGTCCCATATTTGCGATTTGCAATTGTAAGTTTTGTACGCTTGAAATAATGACAATAATATGTTTTTTTTTATGAGTAAAAGTGACTTAATAGTCGAGTATACTTTATACTTCAAAGACGCTTGTAATTTTTGTGGTAACGCAATTTTTCTCCAGTAATGGGAATTACTGCTAGATTCTACTTGCAACTGCATTATTTTTATTCTAGAGAAATCTAAAACATTCTTATTCTCAGATATCTTGTTATTTTTATCCTGCGAATGAATTTCTTGGAAAAATGCTTCAGCTTCATTCTTTGGTGATTACTTGTAAATTATACTTCATGAAACGTGTAATAAAACGGAGTGAGCTCGCTAACATATACGCCTGGCATTAAGCACCATGTAATTTTTACAGAGAATGCCAGAATATGCCAGAATATATTAAACTGGAAAATTCCTGTCGCAGGCAGAATGTCTGGCTTTTGAAAAGTCGGCAATAACTAATGAGGGAGTCTGCAATAATAGTAAGATAATCGTTATGGTACCCTAATTATGTTAGCAGGTAAAACATTGAAAAGTCAAAACCAGGTAGCCGACACAATGCTGTCAGCAGAGGTCACAAATGAATAAAAGTGCCGTCGGCGCCTAACATGATTTTTCCCGAGCGACGGTCATTAGACGCGCCGTGATTTATCTCATCGATCTAAATAATCATTAAACGATAATAGCAAGCTCATTAAGAGGAGCCCCATGCAAGAGGCGGACACTTTTACATCGCAGGTTCTGATTGGCCGAGTGTAAATTCGAGGGACGGACATCAGCGGAGGGAAACTACCCTTGCCAGGGTATAAATGAAGCACATCGGACAGCCATCCTACACAGTTCACTGGACTATAGACCAAGCTGAGCAAAGGAGTTGTTATTTCGATTTTTGCTTCCGATTTTTTCAAGTCAAGTGTTTGCTTCGTTTTTCAATCTTAGCAATTTTCAACTACAATGGCCCAAGAGGTAATTCGTTGCTACAAATTTTTTTCGCTCTACACTATGCATGCTTCGCGTCTTCTGTCGACCTGTTTACAAGCAAACATTTCGACACTGTCTCCTAGATTCATACTTAAATTACAAAAATATGTAATTTTGTTAAACAACGGATAATTGTTTCAGATGTCTGCAACTGACCTAAGGCTGGAGCTGTTCGTGGCGATTCGCAAGAACAACATTGAGGGCGTGAAGAAACTGCTCTCAAGGAGACAACAGTTGCCGTTAACGGAATTGGACATGGATTACCACGCCTTGAGGAGAGCCATACGCTTTAATCGTATGCAAATGGCTAATCTTCTAGTAGATAACGATTTCCGTGTGTGCCTTTCTGAAGCTGAGGAAGATTCTCCGCTCCACCTAGCCGTGGTCAGGCCAAGATTTTATTCGCTGGTGATCAAAATTCTCCAGCGCAACGCAAGCCTAAGCCAACGAAATAGAAACAACGAGACGCCGATCCACAAAGCGTTTCATGGAGGAGCATCTGGCCGGGTAATTCAACTACTTCTTGACACGCATCAAATGGAGAGCTTCAGGAATGAAGTGACAGACCACGGATTGACTTATCTGCATATAGCGTGTGCCAAAACGAATATACAATGTGTTAGGCGCTTTTTGATAGAAGGCAATGCAGATGTCAACGCACAGGTAAATTTCTTTTATAGTCGTTTAGTTTTCTCGTTTTTTTTATTCTACAAGTTATCTTGTAAAATTATCCGATAAATGAGTTACAACTTTTTTCTTGATGCATATGCTATATATTATTCGACCAATCGGATTTTAATTAAATTCACCACAAAAAAATGTTACAGATAACGAAGGATTGTAGCTTACAGTACGCTGGCAGCACGCCATTGCATATGGCGGTAGAGTTTGGGAAGCTGGATATTGCTCTCTACCTCCTTGAGATCGGGGCGGACATATACCTGACTGATGCAGAAGGCTCTACTCCCATACACATCGCACTCGAGCGTGGAAATTCAAAGATGATCGACCTTTTGTTCAAGTATGACCAGAAGCGGTGTAACGCATACAACAAGTAAGACTTTATTTTATTTTTGGCTACTTTATTAAATTTAAGAATGTTTGTATTAACGGAATCTTCAATTTTTCTTCGATTTACAGGCACGGCGTATCACATTTTATGGCAGCGTGTGCGTCGAGGAGGACGAAATTTGTTATTGACTTCTTGGAAAACAACGAAAATGCGGGGGTACTCTTCAGTGAAATTGTTGATAGCCGTATAAAACACGATTACGTGTTAAATGGCTATTGTGCTATAGATATTGCGAAAGATTATAACCGACCTGAGATAATGGCGATTCTGTTTACTGAAAAGCCGGATTAATGCGTGAATGTTAGTTATTAAGCACTTGTCATTTAAAAATTTCTTAATTGTTAAATAACTGATTGTAAAAACAATAAATTGTAACTGAATGTCAACAGTACACATGCGCGTGTATATGTATTTTGTAACTGTAGTGACTTGTATTAGGGTATTTCAGTGTTTATCTTAAATAAAACATAGTGTTACTTTCAAGTTGTGTTTTTTTCATAAAACTGGTTTAGCAAAATAATTTATGCATTCCTTTTCAAATAAAAATCTAAGCATGTAGAATCAAAAAACAAATTAATTTATTTCAACAAACAGTGATAATATATAATGATTATCGATAAATTCACATGATATATCGCAAAATATAATTAGAAAAAGTGAATAAAAATAAATTTAACTTTAAATCAATTAATAAGTATTTTCTTGATTACATGATGATTACAGTGATACAAAATTATTCCCTATTACGCATTATATCTTATTACTAGCTTTGGCATAATTTACAAAGTTGTAGCGATTCAATACCAATTTATGGCGAATCGAAACATTTTCAACCAACTTATTTTGATTCTTCATTACTTCTGTTCTTACGTGCGCGTCTATATATGTAAAAATATTCAACCGGAAAGATCAGAAAATCAAGAAAACCTAAATATAAATTTTAAATTATTTCATACAGAGACTTAGTATTGCTTATACATTGTATATGCAAACAAGGATCTGATGAATGAAAACATTTATTAATGATTCGCATAAATGGAATGGGAATTTTCATGCACACGTTGTTACACACGCACACGTATTTGTCTATATTGAAGTCATATAGAGAACGCGTATTATATTTAATATCACTGCATGCTAGCAATAAACGAGTCGACTAGAAGATGCACTCTTTGGATGTTACACGCTATATAAAGGCATTTATACATAAACTTCACATGGTTTACTTACTGACCTATAAAAATTAAATATTACACATTGGAAATAAAGCACAAAATCTTACAATATATAATCCGTAATATCGTCCTCCCAAAAGGCCGAATCATCGGTAACATACGACATACGGTTTTCGTCGGTATCGTCGTAACTTACGCTTGTATTACTACTGCTATCATCAAAATATCCCGACTCATCATCATCATCACATACCATCATTATATCCTCCAGCTTTTCGTCTTCGGTGATTTTTAAAGAACTAATATCCAAGCTCCAACTGTGTTGCAGGCAGCGCGTGACAAATAAATCGGCAGCTTTATGATAACCATCCACATCCGCAAGATGTTCCAGCATCACCCCGTTGCGTTTGTTCTTTCGGCAATGAGCACCGTTGTTAATTAAAAGCCGAACGATATCCTGACGCCCATATTCAGCAGCGAAGTGAAGAGGCGTGTAGTTTTTGAATGGATAGCTCATATCGGAGAATTCGCTGACACGTTCGTTGATCAATGCCGTCTTGCTGTTCACTGGGTTCATCAGATAGTCAGCAACCACGGTTGGATCTCCGATTATACATGCTGCCATAAAGTGTGATAAGCTGCACCTTAAAATAACAAATTTATTACCCAATAAGTCATGAAACATTATAAAGACGTCTAAATTCAATATACAAGATCCCTTATTATTAAAAAATTTTGAAATAATTGTATTTCGTACATATTTTCAAATGATTTTTTCGATATATATAAACATAGAAAAAGAATTAAGAACGAAGAAAACATGTAATTATCTAAATTATTTCTCCAGTAAAAATTAAATTTTTTAATTAAGAATAAGCCAACTCGAATTCCATACGATTAAATTACTGCAAATTACAGATTAATAAGTTAATAACGTGAAATCAACTTACCCATTCACGTAGTTCTCTCTTTTGAAGTCATATTTGAACAAACATTCTACCATCTTAACGTTCTTACGTTCAAGCGCAAGATGAAGAGGTGTTGATCCTCGGGAATCACAGGCCCACAAATCAGCGCCATTGCGCAGTAGCAGCTTCGCTACCTTTTGATTGTTGAACTCCACGGCCATGTGTAACGGCGTGAAACCGGCGTATGGTGATGCAGATTTTTTGTCAACCTGTAATTGAACGTTTAATTAGTCATGATTATTAAAATATATTAAAATTTCATGCCATTCAAAGATTCGTTTACAAGCGATGACTCATAGTCAGATTTGTAATGCAGAATTTCCATAAGAAAAGTTCGTAATAAAACTAAATGAGAAAGTAAATGGGCAATTCTGAAAATTGATACGTTGAAAAATTACCCGACATAAATTCTAAATAAACATGAAAATTATTTTTCATACATTTCAAGTTTAAGATTTAAGAAGTCTAACGAATATTTGACAACATCAAAGTTATACCTGACAATTCACAAGAGCCTTGCCGTCCTCCACCAGTCTCCTCACGTTATCCAACTTCTTTCTGCTAGCAGCGATATGCAGATACGTCATGCCAATGCGATTGCTCTCATTAGTCAAACGATTCCTTAAATGGTGTTCAAGTAAAAGATCGACGACTTTTCCTTCGGCCAAATCGAAAGCAACGTGAAGAGGCGTCTCATCCTTGCGATTCTTCTGGTCAACCCTGGCTCCACAATCGATTAGCTGACGAACGAGTTTTATGCAGTTGCGTCTCGAAACAGCAAGGTGCAAAGGCGAGTTATCATTGAGGAGTTGATTGTTCGCTCGGCAGCCACGATCGAGTAGAATTCCTGCTATGTCCGGGCATCCGTACATCAAGGCTTTCTTCAGGACCTTATAATCCGCGTTATTCTCTGATGATGGCAGTCCCTCCTTATTCAAAATGGTCTCGAACAACTCACGGCTGGTGGTTTTGATTGCCATAAGCAGCTTGACTACGTGCTGGCTGGGGCGTTTTTGTTGGTATCTGTTGAAAACAATGTCGTCTTTAATGAGATTCAAGACATAGGTTCAAAAAGCTGAAGTGAACGGCAAATCAAACTATAATTAATAAGAACAAATTACAAGTTGAATGTAGCAAATGAATGGAAATCAAATTACAAAATGTTTGTTTTATAAAATTGCAAAAAATAACGTTTGTTTAAACAATTTGAAAGTAAAATATTGAATGTTATGGGTAAGGAGAATCGAAAAAATAATTTACCTCGACATATCTGAAACAGAAAAAATAATTAGACGAAAAAATGTAAAGCTCTGAAGACACTCCGAACGAATATCGCTCCACGAGCAGCGATCAGAAGACTGTTCCTCGACGTTACGGCGCCCGTTCTTATATGCCCTTGATTTGATTTGTTCTCGCCAATCGGCATCCAACGCATAAAGGTGTTCACGCCTGTGGCGGAAGAGCGATGCCATATTACGTAACTGGATCGTTTGGGGTTCCCCGGGAGTTCCCTTTCGCGGGGGACTTTATGTTCGTCCCTCCAAAAGCGGCGCGTGAGAATGTGTGACCCAGATTTTTAGGAAAAAACTTTTCTTTCCTTCGAACTTGTTGTGTCTACTAGTATCAGTCATTGCACTTGATATTTCTATTTTTCTCTAATACTTTACTCTCAGTTTTTCCTTCTTTCTTTCTCGATTCCGCCTGTTGATGCAGGCATTTTATAACGAAACTATAAACCAAACTGCCGTTTGTATATGGGTGAATTGAAAGTAAATGCCACATACATTATAGCTAGCATGTTCAGATTTAATACATTTAAAATTTAGCGCAATTGTAATTGAAACGCTATCAGCGCAATTACTTTCATTGTGACTACACATTACTATAATTTTGCAGTTTGTTAGTTTACGTAGAGATAAGTGACGAGATGCGAGCACTTTCTTAGTGATTTCCAAATAGTACAATTAAGTGATTCTAAATTTTTTTTAACTTTACAGATTGAATGAGGAGCTAATTAAAAAGAGTTCATTTTGATTTTTTTTTTTTTTTCGACACTCCGTGCGCGAAAAACACACAGTGGATTTTTGTCTTGCGTGTCGTTTTCACTCGACAGAAGCGAGGATAAGAGGATAAACAGACACACGAGAAAAGAATCTATTTTTCGAAACGACGCGTTGAAATTGCTTTTTCGACACTCCGTGCGGAAAGTGCACTTTCCACACGTCGTATAAAAAAATACGGTACGGCACATGTTCGGGAAAGAAGATTCTTGTCTCGTGTGGCGTTTACGCCCAAGCGAAGCGAGGGTGGAAAGGTTACACGAGACGAGAATAATATTACAGTGCCGTAGCTACAATTTTTTGTAATGTATCGCAACCGTTTGCCTCTACTGTCCAAAACTATGTGTGACGTCGAAAACATGGTCACGTGATTCGCACTCAGCTCTCTTCGCGATTTCCTCTCTCTCTCTTTCTCTTAATTAAGCATATGAGAGTACGTGTGTGTGTGCGTCTTCGCGCTACTCTGACTTATCACGTATGTAACGAGTATCTAGCTGTGTTGCGGTGTTAAGTCATTGGTGGTAAAAAATATGTTTTTCAATAAATAACAGAAAAAACACCAGTCAAAACAACAAATTAAGCTCAATTTAGCATCAATGCTCCACTGACATATCATGGTAATTCCAATATATCTGTTGATATATATGTGAGATACGCAGTTACGTCACGCAATATTAAAATCAAATACTCGATCGCTATAGTAACGATTAAAACAGGTACGAGCCTTTTAGACAAATAAGTTGAAAGAGTTGAAAGTAGCTATCGTAAACACGTAAATCACAGCAACCCTAGGGGGCGGAAAAAAAAAATTGAAAACCTCTCGAAATTTTAACAAGCTGAACGACGAGGAACACGTGTGCGTCTTATGCCCTTCCTCTTTTTCCAAATCAGCCGGGAGCTGAATAGAAGACATCGTTCTTGCCCAGTATATTAGTATCGCAGCAATCTCAAGCACGAATAGTAGTGTAGTGTTGTTATCGCTCGATCGCGAACGACTTATTGTTGTCATTGTGTACGCGTGGTTCATCAAATTGATCACGCGTGAGCAATATTCGTTGCGGCTCAGTTTCGTTGAGAAGCACGCCGAACACGCCTTTCCGGCCGCAACGATAAAGAAAAATGACGTCAACCTACCAGGACCTTTTCGAGTCTCTAGTTCGCGATGACGTGCGCACATTCCGAGGAATCCTCGAAGCCGAGGGTCTACCTAGAGGGACGGGATACGACTTACTAATAAAAGCTGTGAAACTCAACCGCAAGCGGATAGTCACCTACTTACTCCATCAAAATTGCTGCGTCTTCAAGCCTAAAGCTACGAGTACTCCTCTTCACTTGGCTGTGGAAAAACTCGGCTGGTGTAAAATCGTAAAAAAAATGTTGGAATTAGGTGCGAAAGTCACCGACGTAAATGCGCATGGGGATACCGTACTTCACGTTGCTTTCAAAAATCATGCGAGCGACTTTGTTATTGATTTACTGCTCAAGACCTATTTGACCGAGACGACCGTAGATGTATTTGATAAAGATAATTTGGGATTTATGCATATCGCCTGTACCAGGTCGAATATTGACATCGTCAAAGAGTTCTTCGACACTGGCAAGGCTAATATGTATGGCCAGGTATACATGCCTTTTCTTTCCGTATTTCAATTAAAATCGGGAGCGACTTTAATTTTTTTCTTTGCGTATAATTTCAACCAAACTAATCTTCTTTAGATTCAATCGTAGTATTCATCACTCTTATTCATGGATTTCCTTCAACATACCAAATCGCTCGCGATCGATAATTGTTAACAGGTCAATTTGGATTGCGCAACGGAGTACGCAGGATACACGCCGCTTCATTTTGCCGTCAAGTACGGGAGGCACGAAATGACAAAGTTTTTATGTATGTACGAGGCCGAGATGTACATTCAAGATAGCAAAGGTTCTACGCCGATACACTTGGCACTCGAAAAACGTGACGTCAAGATGATCGATATTATTTCGTATTACGATTCCCAGCATATCAATTACGTCAACGAGTGAGTAAATTGCAAAAGTTTCTGCGCTTTCATGTATTTGTATAAGAAATAAAACGTGAGACGTTTTCAATCGGATAGCATGGTCTTATTATTTGATAGTTTGGCCTATTAAGTTAACACAGTTAAAAGAATTATTCTAAAAGTTGCGATAGATTTTTTCAATGTCAATCGAATCTCTCGTATAACTCAAGCCATTTTAATAATGAAAAATTAATTTTCAGCGCTGGTCTAACGCACTTCATGGCGGCTTGCGCCGTCGGCGACGCCAATTTGATCGAACAATACCTGCACATAGCCAGCCTGCCCCATTCGGGAACGTCGTCCCAATCTCTGCTAAGCGGCCGCGTAAGAGATGTCGGAGGCTATGAATTTTCCGGATACACACCGTTACATTTTGCTGCGGAATTCGGACACTACGCCATCGTCGAGGGATTACTGAAAATGGGCGCCCTGCCCTCAGTCCCGACAACGTCAGGTTTGACGCCTCTCGCGCTCGCCGAGCGAGAACAAAACGTTCACATATGTTGGTTGTTTATGCAATTGAACGTAAAATATTAAGCGTAACTAACGATCAAAGCTGGTACCGGGATCGATTCGAAAATATCCCGTATATTATCAATTTTAACTCTTTTTGGGTTGTTTAATTTTATTTGTTTTTTTTATCTAGTTTTATTAACGAATTATAAATATAAGTCTTTGTAATTTATTTTTTTTTCATTGCAAATTTATATTCCTAGATCTGAACAGTGAAGCACGGAAAATAAACAAGGTAAAATGCGTTGATATTTATTGCATTTTTCGCGCACTTACGCGCGTGAAAAAGTTCGATCACCAAATCGCGCATTTTACATGTATAATTTGTCATGCTTTACCGCAATATTTATAACAGGCAATTTACGTGCACATTAATAAAGCTTCGAAAAAAAATACATTCATTTTTTCAGTAACCTTATATGCGGCGTACTCAATTGTATTTACAACGAAAAGTTGAAAATATTCATTTAGTTCTTGTAATCAATTTTTCAGATCCGTTTAATTGATTGGCCGGGTCCGTTTTGTATCGATACCAATTCTACACGATTTGATTTTAAATACATTTTTTAATCTTCGCTGTTTAACATATTACTTTTGCATTAAACGTGAAATTCTTAAATATATGAAATATTATCTGACATTATATCTTTCTAGAGAAAAATTAATCGAATTTGCTGTAGAAAGTTTAATTGTTCTATAATATCTTATATTCTAATAAATATTATTTTGCGTTTTCTGTTCAATTGAAAAAGTATTATGTTAAAAAATTGTATGGAATCGGTATCTACGCGAAATAAACCCGATCGAGTGATTGAACTTCGTGCATATAAATTTGATGTCTTTTTATTTTGTACATTTAATTGATTGGACATGGAGTTGCATTATTGTAGAAAAAGTTGTAAATTTGCATAGTTTTTTAAGTCTGACTTTATATACCGATTAATTTATGGAATTTTGTATGATTATATCGCTTTTTTGACACATTATCTTGTAAATAAAAAAGATAATCTTTACTTGGCGGTACAAATTCATTACATCATTTAGCCTTGCATATTATCTATCTTCAAATTGTAAAAAGTTTTCTTAAGCAATTACAACTTGGTTAGTTAGTTGAAATGCGGAGTTGGATTTCATGTTGCTTATACTCAACGTATTCCAGCGAAAGCTACTTTTTTTAAACTTTCGCAGCCGTGACGTAATGCTGAAGATGCTCAAATAACGAAGATAAAGGAGTCTGCGATACGAAAATTCACGTTGACGACTAAGATTGATCGAAGGAAATACAGTACCGATATGTTTTTTCAAACGGATCCTCAACAAATATCCCGTAGGGAAGTCACGGGGCATGGAAATTTGCTTTGAAAATTTCTCAGACAAGTCTGTCGCAACAACTCTTTCCACAGTTGGAAATTTGGGAACTATTATCGAATTTTACTAACAGCGAGAACAGCCAAGTGGGGAAAAAAATTTCGGAATAAACGCGCAGTCGAGAAAGTCACGGGACAACACGTGTGAGCAAGAGCGCGGAAGACACGTGCCGTAGTAATAAAACTTACTACCCGGAGGGAAAGGCCGAGCGCCACCCGCCGAAAAAGCGGGAAACCAAGCCGAGAGAGCGCTCAGCTTGTGTACTAGCAGGGGTTGATCGCGCGCTGCTTATTTAAAGCTCGACACTCCGATTGTCAGTATCATTCTACCGAAAACTCTCCAACGGTGAACATCGTGCTCGAAGCTTGCTTCTAATTGTGTCAGTGTGATTTTGGTGCTTTCGCCGCTGTTCTTTTGTCGCCGTAGCTGCGCAAATTTCTATTGTTGATCGTTCAACGCTGCAAATTTTGTGTTCCTTCTGCAAGCTGATACGTAAGTGTTTCATAGTATTTCCACCTATACTTTTAAATCAAGTACATTGTCATTATTTTTATTTAAAAAAAAGCTTATTTTTAAAACTCTTTCATTTTTACTGGCAGCTCTTTGCTCGTACTAATTAAAACTTGCTTGCTGTTTTTAGATTCTTATCGATCTTGCAAGGATGGCTCATTCAATCTACAGGTCTTTGCTGGAAGATGTGCGCCACAACGACGTGAGGAGCTTCCGTTCGGTGCTCGAAGCCCGGGGCCTGCCTCAGGATGACAATTGGTTCGACTACGACTTGTTGATGCGAGCCCTCCGTTTGAATCGTAAGCGCATAGTGAGCGCGCTCCTGGACAAGCATTGTCGCGTGAACAAGCCTCGTAATGCAAGTACCAACGTCAACACTCCGCTCCATTTGGCCGCGGAGAAACTCGGCTGGTGCGACATCATCGAGAAAATGTTGCGGCTTAAGGCTCGCGTGACGGATGTCAACGCCGACGGCAACACTCCTCTGCATTTGGCTTTCCTCAATCAGCTGTCCGACAAAGTCATTCATCGACTGCTCACACACTACTTGAAAGAATGTACTACTGACATCCCCAACAAGGATGGTTTGGGATTTATGCACATCGCCTGCACCAGAGCCGATTGCAATTCTCTTCGGGAGTTTTTCGACGTTGGTATGTCGGACATTTACTCACAGGTAATTGTTAAATCAATCGTCATTTGTAGAATGACATATTATCGAGTAAACTTTATTTGCAATCAATTGACGACTGAATTGTTACAGGTTTCGATACAAAGTGACACCATCTATGCTGGATACTCACCACTTCATTTTGCGGTGAAGGCCGGTAGGCACGAGATTGTCAATTTTTTGTGCCTGTACGAGGCCGACATCTATGCCCAGGATTGCAACGGATCTACTCCTATCCATCTGGCTCTGGAGAAAGGTGATGTCAAGATGATCGACATCCTGCTTTATTACGACTCCAACTACGAGAACTACGTCAATGCGTAAGTCATCAATTTATAATTTTTTTTTTTTGCCTTTCAAATGCAAATGATCTAAAGAATAATGTCATTTCCAAAGTTGACATTTTAATGTGTAAAATTACGTCTTTTTTCAGGTTTGGTGCATCGCATTTCATGGCGGCGTGCGCTGGCAGCGATTCAAACATCGTGGAGCAGTTTTTGACGATTGCCGAGAACGCTTCGAGTTCGTCGGTGCGACAGCTGCTGAACGGTCGCGTGAAGGACGTTCCACACATTCCTATCGCGGGTTGCACGGCGCTACACTTCGCCTGTGAGTACGGCCGTGTCAATACGGTCTACGGACTGCTCGCCATCGGTGCTCAAAAGGGAACTCCACTTCTATGCGAGAGCATTACGAGCTATGGTTTGACGCCCTACAGCATCGCCACGGCGCAACAACACTGGGATATCTGCAACGTGATACAGCAGTACTACACGGCTTATCAGCACATGTTGGTTCGCCCCGAGGTGCAGCATCAAGCAGAAGTACACTGCGATCCAACAGTGGTACAAATGCATGAGCACCAGCTGTTGCAACATTATCAACCAATGCCGATTGCTTGCGCTTAATCTTTTCGAGGATCGCGTCAATTCTTTTTATGTGCAATATCACTTTAGTGCGTAATTTTTTTTAATTTGTACAAGTTGACTCTTTTTTTATATTTTACATATAAAAAAAGATATATTTAGTCATGTTTTACATAACAAGGGCATTTTATGTCTGCAGCTTTGTAACAAAACTTGTATATGTATACTTGTGATACATCATACAAAGTTACAGTTGCAAAGTTCAGAGACTTAGATTAGACAATTATAGCGTTATTGTGTATAGTATCAAGTTTATTGTAATCCTGCCGATAAAATATAGATGTAAACGAATTTTGTATATAAAGTATTTTTTATGTAGTATAGTTTGCGTTAGGTATTAATATGCGCGCGAGTAAATTAGTTTTAGTTATAATCCGACCAAATGTAATTTTATAATCATTCGTTTGTAATTAATTAGTAATTAACTCATAATGTTAATTTGATTTAGCACTAATAAAATATATGTTTATATTAAATTATGTCACTTTATTAAAACTTATACCTTACTGAATTAATTTATCACTTTAAATTTAGACAATTCTTAAATTTATTTATAGTTTAAATTTAACTTTATTTTTGCCAAGTTCATCAAGTACGTTATTCTGTTACACTTCTTTGTTAGAGTTACATTTTTTTACAATAGATATTTTCGAAACAGTTTCAAAATTTTGACGGTTCTATTTTGTTTCAGTGAATACATTCCTTTTACCCAGAACATGCATAGTTTAGTATTCGAACGAAACCTTTTTTTTCTACGACTTATTGACGAAATTGAGACAAGACCCACGTTTCCCAAGATGGGCTAGTTTACGTCAACACAGACCTAGACCGCATGTCTGTTTAGTTTCTCATTTTATTTGTGGCTTCAGCTCAAGGTCCTTCGTTGGATGCAGTTTGACGGTCGTTACATAGATCCGTGATTATAAAGTAGTAAAGATATAAATGGCTTTATAAATATGATAATTAGATAACGGCGAGAGATTTGTATTTTTGTAAAGGTTTTTATTTTTTAATTTTCGAGTATGAATGTAAATTTTCTTATCAAGCCAGCTAAAAGTACGCTATGAGAAAGCTGATAGCCAGTTTTTCAATATCTGGAGTTCTTTTTGTATGCTTGATGTGGCATTCAGTGGAAAATTAAAAAAGTACGCGTTTGAAAAAAGAATTATTCAGAACAGTATGAATTGATTCTGGCCATTGAATGTAACGATAAAAAATTCATTTTATAAGTAGGGCTTAAATAGATTAATAATTGAATTTAAAAAAGTTTGTGCAGTGTAAGCGTTAATCTATAGAGGTCATAAAGGGTTTAGCGTCTACCTGTCTGCGATCGTTTAACCTCTTTTTCTTGCCCCCTAAAAGGTCATTTCAGTCATATATAAATATATGATTATTCGAAAATTTCTTTTTTTTTATTATAAAATTATTAAGTTCATTTGAGTTTATATTCATTGATGTAAATATATTAGCTTACTGTAGTGTCTCAGTTTGCTTAGTGAATTACATTGATTGGGCTTGTGCATTATGAAATATGCGTTAAACAAAGAGAGCAATAACTATACGGTAACTTTGCATTATTAAAATTACAGAAACAAAGAATTTTTCACAAATTTTAATGTTTTCAAAATATATATTTTTTTCGTTTATGACTATAAAAAATGTACGTAATCTTGATTCTCAATATAACAGCAATAAATACAACTTTGCTGTATCTTATGATAAGTTTTGACGATTTATTAACGAAAATCTATGCTAAAATTGTATACAATGAAACATGCATTGCCTGTAGTTTTCACTATTGCGAAAAATGTAACTGACAGTGGACAGTTATTAAAAAAATCAGATAATAAGACGTTTATACATGATAAATAAAATTTTTCTCTTTTAATAAAAAGAAATTGTTTTTTCATAATTGAATTGTGAATACAAAAATATAATGCGTAATATATTAAAATCTGATTACTCAAAAGATTAGATTTATCGATCGTTTTCATGAACCTTGTTAATGACAAATCTATGGTAATATCGTTTATTTTTAATATGCTTTTATAAGATAGTTATAAAAAAAGTTATGCTCTATAATATATAGTTATATTCTATAACGAAGTTATCCTAATAAAGTTATATTCTTAAAATTAACAACTTTCCGGTTGGATTGTTTTGCGTAATTTTTATTTAATTGCGCGAAAAAAATAAAAATATATTTTAATCGTGCGCTATATAAGTCAAAAATTAATTTTAGTAAAACACGATAGTCAAATAGTACAATTAGTTATATCCACATAAAAATACTTTTACATTATTAATATAAAAAAGTTGATAATTATCTTTTGATTATATTGTATGAATCCGTTGATTGTCAAATAATGTACATTTTGAAGAAGCAAATTCAGTTTGCGCTATAATTAATAAAAATTCGATGATTATAGATGGCTTTTGACCGTAATTTTTCCGCGTGGTTTTTCGGAAAGCGCGATAGAATAGAAATCTCGAGAAAATATAGTACTCTAGAAAAGCGTTTGGAAAGGTATTTCCCCCAGAAAAGCATACGTAGCAAAGCACATATATATCGGAATACGCTCGGGGAAAGTTTAAGTGTAACACGTTTGCCCTTCTCCGCGGGAAAGGCAACAGCGAACGGGGAAATTGAAATTCCCCGATTCGAGACGTTACGAGGGGAACGCATGTGTTCCCGCGCCCGGCAAGTCTGACTGTGTCTCCCTCTCTCTCTCTCCTTCTCTGCGCGAACCAATTGGCGGAGCCATCGTTGCCGAACGCCCCTCCTCTCAGATGTTACAGCATCGAGCGGCTATAACCGTCATGCTGTCGCCGCTCCTCGCGAGTCCCAGATATCGAAGAACGCGCTTGTTAACGTTCGTCAAGGTTTTCCTGAATTCGTCAACGTAAACTCGTTAGTTTCTATTCAGATGGATACTCTTTAAATTTGTACGGGTTGGGTTTCCCTTTTTGATTGTTCAGTGAGTTAAATTATTTTGCGTAATTCTTTCTTCACCTAATCATTTTAGTGGTTCAAGTGTTGGTTGACTTTTTATAGAAAAACGGAACGAAAGGGTCGATGTTGACGTATTTTACATTTTTACAATTATTTCTATTTTACTTCGAGCAAACGTAATTTTATTTACTTTATTTTAAATTCATCTGAATTCATTAGTGTTCATCGTATCTCCGAAGCCATTGCTGCTGGTTCAACCCTGACAATCTGTTGATAGCAATGGTAAATGTCAGGGATGTCTTGGCAACGGCTCTCTGCAAGCTTTCGATACCGTATCACTTCTGTAACATTGCAGCACTCGAGATAATGTTGGCTTCTGGATTATCCGCCGATATGCGTAACAACAGAGGTGACACGCCATTACATCATAGTTTTTCCGTTGACGAGAACAATCCACTGGTGCATTTGCTGATGGAGGGACTTTTACCTATTGCCAAAGAGAATTTTACCAACTGCGACGGTCTGAATTTGCTTCACATTGCTTGCGCTAAGTCGACGCTTGCCGATGTGCAAGATCTTTTGAATAGGTTCCTCTCTGATATCGATTGTCAGGTGAGCTTATAAATTTAATTAATATAATTATTGTTATTAGAAAATTAATTGTTAAGAGTTTACAAAAAATACGTCAGTATTACACTTTACAAGGATCAAATTGAAGTAGGCATTGTTCATAAATAATTTTTAATTGGTTAGTGTACAAGGTAATTTCTATATTCCATCACAAAGATCTAATAAATTTATCGTTCGATTAATCTTCGACAGCCAATGTCAAACAGATTTATATACTTTTATGACTTTTAAATTAATTTAGTCAACTATATCCAACAGGTATCCTCGAATCTGGAATCGCCGTACGCCGGGTATACTCCACTCCACTTTGCTGTGCATCACGGCCGATACGAGATAGCGACTTTGCTTCTGAAACACGACGCTAACTTTTACACCCAGGATCGCAATGGCTCGTCGCCACTTCATTTGGCTCTCAACCGAAAAGACATCAAGATGATCGACCTGATTCTTCTCAATGATCACCTGCACAACAATTGTGTCGATAAGCAAGTTTCATTGTCAATTACTATTTTTTCAAAGTAACGCGCACAAAAATATTTTGGCCTGTGCACGTATAAATAAAGTATCAAGGTGATTGTTTAGTTTGAAAATGTAAAACAAACAAATGATTGAATATCCAATGGCTTAGATCGTAAAATTCATTTGCTAAATCTTTTATTTGTGCACTAGCTTTCTAATTTTTTATTCCTTTCTTTTAGCTCTGGCCTTACCCACTTCATGGCAGCATGCGTTGGCACGAAGTCAAGCGTCGTCAACGAGTTTCTTTGTACAGCCACGACAGTTCGAAGAATATCACCGTTGGTTCTTATCATGGATCGCGTCAAAAATACTCTGCATCAATTCGCTGGATACTCCCCCCTGCATTTCGCGGCTCTATCTGGAAATACACAAACGGCACTTTTACTCTTGCAGCACCAGGCTTCGTGTTTTGCGTTGACCAACGATAATTTCACTCCTTTTGACATCGCGCGTAATTTGGGATTTGAAGAGATGTGCCAGTTATTGCAAAAATTTGCTGATAACCGGAAAGATGAAATTCTGGCTAATTGGATGAGTAAAATGATGGTCGAGTGAACGCATGGGTATATAAATCCATTGTTTTCAGGCTAGACGTCACTTAAATTAGAGAGTGGATCTGAAAATATTTATTATAATTTTGAATGATTCCAACTATTATCGTGTAGACGGTGTTGGAATTTCATCTACTTGTTAATGCGTATTCAAAGTATAGGCTGTATATTAAATTATCAATATACAGTTCTTAATTGTTTACTGTATTTCTGCGTTATCCAATTATATTTCTTTTGTAAATAAAACATTTAACTCAAACAATTACAGTATACATGACAAAGATTTTCTGTGTAAGTTTTAAGACAAAACGACATTCATTAATATGTGAAAGTATTACATCAAATGATTACTGTACGAGTTAATATCATGTTTTATTCATCAAGTTACAACTGCATATATGATCTGTAATAAACACTTTCAATTGACTAGAGTGTATGTTTAATAAAGCATTGCGAAAGTCTACTTAAGGTGGTTTTATGCAAATTTACATACAATTTTGTTATACAATTTATAAAATTTATATTATAAAAAAATAGCCGCGGAAAAGTTATTTAACGCAGAGGCGCAGACAACTGTCATCGAACAATTTTTGATTTATAATAGAAATCATCTACGATATTAAGCAACAGTATTAAAAATTGCACTAAAGTGGATAGAGTAATAAGTAGTTAAGCACTGTCCTCGTGTCATAAAGTGACTTTAGATTTTGGAATATATGATTTCGTAATCCAACAGTATTACAATAAAACCAATCAAGTCAGCGAAGTAGGAAGCCCTCCTCGTTGGAATGCCAACACCGATCATCTTAGATTGAATGAACAGTTTCAGAAGTTCCAGTGAAGCTGAACCGCCACATCAGTTCTGAGTATTCAAACGAAACATAGTAATTTGATGATTAACTTGACCAACATGTATCGCTTAATTTACAAATCTTTATTGGATGATGTGCGTCAGAGCAACGTAAGAAGTTTTCGAGCAATTATCGAGAAATGCGGCTTGCCTCAGGACGACAACTGGTACGATTATGATTTGCTCGTGATGGCGGTACGTTTGCACCGCAAACGCATAGTCAACTATCTTCTGGACTGCCGATGCCGCGTGAACAAGCCTTTTGATGACAGAGTCAGAACGAACACTCCTCTACACCTGGCCGCGAAAAAGCCAGGATGGTGCAAAGTCGTTGTGAAGATGCTGAGGTTAAAGGCTCGTGTGACCGACACAAACTCCGAGGGAAACACCCCGTTGCACTTGGCCTTCATCAACCGCTTACCCAAGCGTGTCATCAATATGTTACTTCGATTCTTTACAAAATATTCCCGTCGGAATATAGTAAATCGCGATGGACTTGGCTTGGTGCATATTGCCTGCGTGGTGAGCGACCGCGATTGCGTTGAGAAGTTTCTGAACTTCGGCTTCGACGTTGGTAGAGCATACACCATCTCTTGCGTAAATATTTTTACCTCTATTCAACTTTTTCTTCATTCCGTTGTTTTACGTATGGAATTTAACGATCATGTATCTTGTATTCAACATTTGTATTGCACGATCCTATTGTTATAGGTATCGACGCTCGCACAAGGTTATATGTCAAATTATGCCGGTTACTCGCTTTTGCACTTCGCCGTGGAGGCTGGTAATTATAGCGTTGCCGTATTACTTTGTGAATACTATGCCGATATGTATAGCCAAGATTACAACGGCTCGACGCCTTTCCACCTAGCTTTGGAGAAGCGCGACATCGAGATGATCGACATTCTCTGTAGTTACGATATGATTAATGACAATTGCATTAATGAGTGAGTAATCGACTGTTTATTTTATTTATTTTACACTAGTCAACGATTTGTCTAATTTTCATTGGTCACATATGGAATTACCGGACAGCGGTACGTTAAAGGGGCATTGCAAGAGTCACTAAAATCAATTGATTATCTCTTTCAGCTTTGCCGCGTCGCACTTCATGGCAGCGTGCATCGGTAGCAATAGCAACGCTGTCGAAAAGTATCTCGTACGTGCCGAGGAAAGTCCCCGGACATCGATTCGACGTCTGTTGTACGGGCGCGTATCGGACAACCCGAACTACCCCGACGCGGGCTACAGTGCTCTGCATTTCGCCAGCGAATGCGGCCGCGTTGACACGGTTTTCAAGCTGTTCGTTAACGGTGCTCACTTCACTGTGACGACCGATAACTTGACTCCCCTGGATCTTGCTCGACAACACAAACATTACGATGTTTGTAAACTGTTGGAAAAGCATCTTAGCACTTGCGAACGGTGCAATAATTTAACGCTTACCATTGATATGCTGAGCGCTGTTGGTGTAGGAATTAAAGGAATTGAAAACGAAAGAAACATTTTAAAAAACGATACGGTGTTCGATTTCTCGCGCAATAGAATTTTCTCGTTCGCAAAATCATTTACTTTCGCTAATTTTCTGTGGTTGTGTCATAATTTGTTTGAAAGCTGTTGAATTCTAACGTCGTTTAGAAAACATTGCATCTGCTGTAAATTTACTATATTTGGCAATGAAATTTCAACGAAACTTTTTCGTTTTACAATATAATCATGCGGTAAAGGTAAAAGTAATGTTGCATTTGCACTCCTAGTTCTAAATGCGTAACTTGTACCTATATAATCAATAAACTTTCTACTTAATCTCAATATGCGTGCTTAGCCATTTGATTGTATGAGTTACAATTGTATACAATTGTTTCGTATGCTTGGTGATTTTGTAATTTACTCTCGTAATAAAATTCTGGCTCATTCAGAGCCCGTCATTTGCATATTGTAAAACAAACTTTCCGACTCTACACCTACTATATATTTATTGTCATTCTGTGGTATTTTCAGTGTAACTTTTACCAAATAAAAATGATGCAATACGTGCCTACTGCACGACTAGGCATGAAATGAAATGTGAAATCTCGTTTGTTTTTCATAATTTTTCATTGAATAATTCATGAAGATTCGTATCCGCTAATTTTATTTGGATAAAACTAAATGTGAATGATCGATTAGGAAGAACTGTGCTATCTCTTAAGCTTTTCATTTTCTTATGAATAATTTACCAGGAAGTATTGAAAGAATTTTCAAGCTAACAATAAGTTAGTCCAGTGATATTTATGTTGAACCGCCTAAGTGTATTCGAGTTTTAGAAAAAGCTAATTCCAAAATCCAGATAGTCGTATAAGTTAATCCCCTCTCTTTGCTTCTTTAATCCCCTTTGCTCAGTTACGTACTCGACGCTGCTCACAGATAGTCTCACAACGTTGCGCGAAGTCGTAGTACAAAGAAGCCCATTCCGCGTTGAAACTTGTTGACAAAAATTGAGCTGTTTGCCAATTGCTTGGTAAAAATGTCCGACAGATTGTACGAATTTTTATTAGGAAAAGTGCGCGAAAATGACACAAAGAGTTTTTTGGAGACTATTAAAAAACACGACCTTTTTCATGACGACAACTACTACGACTTTAATTTGCTTGTGGAGGCATGTAAATTGGGCCGCAAAGAGATAGTCAACGCTCTCTTAAACGCACACAGTCGTATGAACGCCCTTGACAACAGAACGAAGATGAATACTCCTCTGCACTTGGCTGCAGAAAGACGTGGATGGTCCGATATTGTGGAGAGACTTGTGAAAAAGGGCGCTGATTTTATGGCTGTCAACGAGGATGGTAATACTGCCTTGCATGTGGCCTTTCTCAATAAGGCTGAGGATAAAACTATGGAAGTACTGCTGAATGAGTTCTTCTACGAATATACAGAGGAGGAGAGACGGAAAGATGTATTCAACAGGGATGAAATTGGCTATTTGCACATGGTCGCCTTGAGGGGCACCGTAAAGCAGGCCAGAGAAGTTTTGGACAGAAATGTGTTGGACATCAATGCTCAGGTAGGACTCAATTCAGTATCTTGGCAATTGTTTGAATGTTGCTTGATAAATTTTGATTTATGGAACGTTTGTATTGCAATGTGTATTTCGCAATTGCTATCGTCACAGGTGTCGTCTCAGTCGCAAACGCCGTACGCTGGTTACGCGGCGTTGCACTTTGCCGTGGAGGCCCGCCATGGCGAGATGATCAGTCTTCTAATCGAATGGGGAGGACGACTGAGTGTCTTTACTCCGAAGGACACGAGTCCGCTACACTTGGCTCTGGAAATGAGCGATTTCGACATAGTTGACTTATTGTGCGATAGTCTCCGTGACTTCAAGAACTACCGAAATAAGTGAGTCTTTGATAAAGCAAGGCGCAGTTTCTTTTCCGGCAAATCGCCAGTAGGCAAAAGCGCGTTCATTCGAGAATTGCTTTTAATTGCGCGACTGGACAGTTTATCGATGCAATCGCAAACTACGATATTTTTCATTTCAGTAATGGCACGTCGCACTTCATGGCCGCGTGCGCGTCTGGCGATCCGAAAATCGTCATGATGTTCCTTAAGAATCCCGTAGAATGGTTTAACGACACAATGCCGACATTATTCGCTCGGGTAAAGAACGAACCTTGGCGCCCAAACGCTGGTTATTCACCCTTACATTTTGCTTGCCTACGTGGACGAATTGAAACGGTCAATATTCTCCTTTCCTGTGGGGTTCACATGTGTCGCTCGACCAGTACGTTAACACCGATGGATATTGTTCGTCGACAATTTAAGTTGACGACCCTTAGACAAGCTCAGCTGGTCTTTAGACCAGTGTACTATAGCTTGCTCAAGCATTGCCAGGTTTGCAAAGAGTGCTTCAATTTGGTCTACCCAAACGAAGCGTGGATGGCACAAGTCAAAATGAAGGCCAGTCATAACTTTGATATAGAAATATGAGCAATGAGTTTTTCGTACAACTGTACTAAGAATAATACATTTTTTTAGTAATAGTCAGCTATGTAAATTACAAATGTATAACGTATTAACGATCATCGATTATCATAGATCGTTATGTATTTAATCAACGCGTTTGATTGATTTTAATGTTGCATTTCTATATTGATTTATTCTCGTGAAAATTGTATTCTTAACATGTTTACAATAAATTTCTTTTTCGTCAATATAACTGAATTATTCATTAATTTATGTTTTCGAAGATTTAGTTCTTTTCGCGCTTAAATATCATTATCATACTGACTTTTGTTAGTATTTAAATTAATATTTTCCAAATTCAATGATCTAGTCTGTATGTCATTTAATCTTAAAAATCCAACTACCGATTCAGCATATGCTGCTTTTCAGCATATGTATACTCTTTGTTTAGAAAGACAGAGAGAGAGAGCGTTTCTAAGCTCATATGAGAGTAAATGGAAAAATGAGAAAGTTGGCAAGGCAGAAGCTTTCGTCCAGGTGTTACCGACTGGATTCGTCAGTGGGGCTTTGACGATCGGCAAAATCTGCTTCATACGCTTGAAGTGTGCGGCTATCTATGCCAGTTTATGTACGCAACGAACGTATTTCCTGCCGTTCTGGACGCCATTTGATTGTAGATGATTGGGCCACGAGGACACTAATTGACAAGTGTTAAAAGATATTAAGATTGGAAAAGTTGGCATCGACGCCTCTATTAGTCAGTGGCGCAAGCCGTGAGAGTAGACTACAGTCTGCTCCGCCGTAAGATTTACATTACATAAAATTGTTAGGAATAAAATTTGTATTATTGTTACATTTAATTATAACCTAATTATAAATCAAAATTCTATGCCTGTACCAAATACCACTTTGATATTTATCATTTTGTACAACCTTTATGTAAAACGACTTATTAAAATTCATACTTAACAGTATCAAAAATCATTTTAATTTTGAAAATTAGAAAGAAATGATATAGATATCTATATAATAGAATATATACATCATACAATATAGATATTTATAATTGTCATAAATGTTGACTATATATTGTTTATTGATTTTCCAAGGGGTCCCTTGTCTAGTAGGCTAATATTCAGGAGGGTTGTACGAATTGACTTTTTTCAATAAACAACTTCTACCCTGAAAAAAAAGCCCATTTCCGTAGCGATCGCTCAAAGTCGAATATCATCCCTTCTAATCAACCCCTGGAAACTTATCGGATCTATATCTCTTTAGTTTTTCGAGTTCTATCCAATTTTTAACGCTGGATCTTTTTAGAATATTTTAATACAGTATTTCAATATCTTACGACCTTGCTTTTTCGCCAAATTCCTCGCTCGTATATTTCTTATAGGGCTTCAGAGGAGCGTCAACTCAAAGTCTAATATCTCGCCAAAAAACGCTGGAAAAAGTTCGAAAATCATATTGTTTACTGATTTATTTTTTTCGAAAAATAGTTAAATTATTTATTGTGTAAATTTATAAGAATATTTTTCGAGGTTATTTAACATAACATACTATTCTGCGTTAAGTGACTAATAAATCATTTTATATAAACTAAAACATAATTTGATCCTTAAAAGTTCTACAAAACAATAATTGAAGAGATTTTTACAGTTGACATAGAATTTTGACTTGTCAGTATAATTTACATAATGTTTAATGCAAAATAATTTGGTGGAGCAAACTATATAGCCGACTCGCGCAGTTCACGCCACCGTACCGATAGGTAGAAGTGTTGATGGAAACTTTTTCAATGTCAATTTCACTAGCTGTAGCAAAAGACGTTGGAAATGGTTCATCGGGGTTCATATAATCATTCATAAATGATGTGTGTAAATGATAAGTTTATTATTCCATGATTATGAAAATGCGCAAATAAGACGTTAATATTACAAAGGAAAACTTAATCTTCCATAGTCACTCGTATTCTCATTTAAACCATTTGCTTGTTAATAAATAAGTACATAAAACACTTGCATTCTATTTAAATAACACAACATAAATTTAGATATTGTTATTGTCATTATTATTATTGTTATTTCAAGCACTTTGGTTATGTAAACGCTGCATAGATATTGTTATAAATAAAGTGGAATTCACGTGTCGAATAAACGAGTTACTTGTGAAAGGAAAGTCGCACGATTATAATAAAAGCCAAAACTAAACCATTTACTGGTAATTGTGGATAATACATCGATGGATCATAATGGCATGATAAGGCGACGTCCTCATTTATTTATGTGAGTTCATTGCCATAAGATTTGTCATTTTTTATTATAAATTTTTCTTCTTTCTCTTACACATTTATTTATATAAACAAGTATAATCAGTACTTGCAATTTTTTAAAAGTAGAATAAAGGTAATATACTCTTCATCATAGTATTACGTAAACATCTGGGTAATCTCACGAAAGAATGAATGATGGTGGCACAATGTAAAGATGGCGGCATAGTGTAAAGATGGCGGTGACGTTAATACATATGAGCATGGAGTATGGAAACTGTACAGTCTCCATGGCATGGAGCATCACTTTTATTTTAACGTTGATTAAATAAGTTATGTTTTGCGTAATTGCAACAACAAAACTTATTTAATATTATATTGATGTTATAGAGTAGGCTAAACATTTTCCATACCATAAAAGACAATCTATCTATTCAATTGAAATATCCAAATTTTCTATTTTACGCGTGCACAATCGATTTAGCGATTTTTTAAATGTTTTCTTAAGAACCGTATGTAAAAGATACAGTGTAGACTAATTTATTTTTACCTGTACTGGCGTGATTCAGCGCGCTCTTTTGTTGTTTGTTTGTTATTTCTTACATTACTAAAATCATACAATTGATAATCAAACGAACTTACCTGTACGTGAAGTTCGATTATAATTATATGTAGTCCTCGCTCGAGTACATTTCACATAATGTAGTATCCCCCTTGGCCCCCCGTGGCAGCACACGTTTAGAGTATCGAAGAGTTAGCTACTATCCCCACCCCGCGCCCGCTTCACTTTTTAGAGTATTGAAGAAGGCTAAACATATTGTTAATACTATGCATGGGAGGGGTGATAAATAATTATCACTGAGGTGGGATATAATGTACTCGAGCGAGGACTACATATAATTATAATCGAACTTCACGTACAGGTAAGTTCGTTTGATTATCAATTATATTACGTCCTCGCTCTCATACATTTCACATAATGTAGTTGTTTAGAGTATTTCACTACCTATGTTATTTGTAATAAATTTTTATTATCAATTTATATAAATCATTAGCTTAATACAGCATTAGCAAAATCATAGCCATTAGATGTAATTGGTCTTTTATAAAATTTGGCGAACATTTCTGAATTTTTTGACCATCCTGCCGTCAATCTAATTGTATCAAAGTCGATACCTTTTTCAGCTGCTAACGACGTAGCCGCGTGCCTTGTCGAGTGAGCGGAAAAAATTGACACATCTACGCCACTGTCTTTTAAGACATTTTTAACCCATCTACTTATTGTACAAGCCTCGACCGCCTTGTACGGTGGCCTCGTAGATATAAAAAAGTTTGTACATTCTCCTCTCAGACTCTCGGTTTTATCCAAGTAATTATAAATCGCTGAGACTACGCATAACTTGGGTTTATCATTAAACCTCGGCAGCTTAAGGCACGGTTGGTAACGACCCGGTCCAGTCGTCTTAATGGAGTCCGGAATCGTAATAAACAAATTTTCGCCATCACGCTTTATATTATTTATATTAATTTTTGACAAGGTTTGCGCTCTTTGAGCGGTACTTAAAGCTAATAGAGTAACTGTCTTATAAGTTAATAACTTAAAATCTGAAGTATCTGCTTCTTCTAAAAATTTTAAAACAATAGAAACATCCCAAGTTAACGCATACTTAGGTCTTGATGGTCTCAAGTTTGAGACACCCTTCATGAATCTAATTACATCAGAATGTTCTCCTATTTTATTTGATGTGATTAAGGAGAGAGCGCATCTAGACGAATTTAAGGTGCCATACGCGGCGCCCTTGTAAAAGAGTTCTGATAAAAACTTGATTGCCGTAGCAGGCGTAACATCTGAATTTGACATTTTGTTTTTAACACAAAAGTCTTCCCATTGCTTTAGAGTACAACTATACTGTTTGATTGTAGACTCTTTTACGGAAGCTAACATTATAGCTGTTGCTTCTTCTGGAATGCCTCTCTTTAAATAAGACGACCTGATAACCTGCTTGCAATTAAAGTTAGATGCTTTGCTCTTGGATGAACCTGCGACCTACAAGGTGATAATAATAAGGTTGGATTGGGATTTAACACAACTGGAGTGTCGTATCTCATAGACTCAAAAAGAGGGAACCACGGCTGTTTTCTCCAGAGTGGTACGACCATTATTCCGCTGGCTTTATCGCGCTTAATTTTTGCTAAAGTTCTCAACATTAACGCAAAAGGGGGGAAAGCGTAAAAATAGAATTGAGACCAGGAAAACGTGAAGGCATCAATGTATGATGCGCCAACTTCCGGTTTCCAGGAAGCAAATCTTTTACATTTCGAGTTCACACTCGTGGCAAAAAGATCAATATCTGGAATGCCGAGAGTGTTTGTAATTATATTGTAATATTTTGTATTTAATTCCCATTCCGAATCTAAATTCTCTTTACGAGACAACGCGTCCGCGATCACATTATCTTTTGAAGCAATATAGGTGGCTAATAATATGATTTGACGCTTTTCCGCCCATTGCCATATCTTGCGAGCTAGTCCGTTATAATGGTCGTACCGTACTCCGCTCATTTTATTTATATAGGCAAGAGCCGTAGTATTATCTACTCTAATCAATATCTGACAATTTTTCAGATCTGACGCTAGGTTATGAAGAGCAATTTCAATCGTATAAAGCTCTAGATAATTGATGTGCTTTTCCCGTTCCTTTAAGGACCAAAAACCATATATTTGTTTTCCAAAATTATTGCATGCTCCCCAGCCCGTCGTAGAGGCATCTGTGTGGATAATCATTGCGAAATGATTATTTTTTATGAGAGAATTACTCTTTAAGATATTATCTCTCCACCATTCTAAATCTTCTTTTACCTTATCATTCAAGGTCATTTGATTATCGTAAGTATTATCACTAATAATCAATTGAAATATTTTTTCTTTTTCTAATCTTTTGGTGTAGAGCCAACCATACTCCGTCGCTGGGCAACATGCAATCAGTTTACCAATCAACTCTGCAAACTCTCTAATTGAGCACCTATTTAACTTTAAAAATTTTTCGACTAATTGAAAAATGTTTTTTCTTTTATCATCTGGTAACTCTACTAAATATCTTTTTGTATCTATGATAAATCCTAAAAATTTGCACCTTAACTTTGGTACTAGACTCGATTTTTTATAATTCACTAGAAAACCTAGCCACTCAAGTAGTTCAATAGTCTTATTAATATTAGTAATACATTTATCTTTGGAACTTTCGATACATAAGATATCGTCAAGATAAACCACCGATGTGAACCCACGTTTTCTTAAGAAACCTACCACAACTCTCATGACTTTTGTGAATATGAGAGGGGCTATACAGAGACCAAATGGGAGACAGGTAAATTCAAAAAAGGCACCATTGAATAAAAAACGAAGGTATTTTCTACTATCTGGATGTATCGATATAAGATAGTAAGCGTCCTCTAAATCTATTGAACCTAAAAAATAGTCGGGAAAGATCAATTGAACAGCCGTTCTTAAGTCTTCTAGTTTGAAGTGATGATTTTTTATAAACAAATTTAATTTCTTCAGATTTAAAATAAATCTGTGTTTCCCATTTGGCTTCCTTATAAGAAAGAAGGGTGACATGAATTGATCCTCTACATGAGGACAATCTGCAATAGCTCCCCTTCTTATTAATTCATCTATACAGCCCTGTATTATAACCTTTTCCCCCTCCGAAAATGATCTCTCTTTCTTGGAGGTAAAGGGTACATAACTCTCATTCACAGAAATTTTCAAACCTGAAACACATCCTAATACAATTTTATCATCGGTGATTTCTAACCAATTTTTATAAAACAGACTTAGCCTACCCGCACATTGACTTACACTCTCTACTCTTTCTTCTCTTGTGATTTGCCCTGCGGCTTGGGCTGCTGTGGGCCGGGTGGTGGTACGTTCTGATTGATGAACTGCTGTCTGTTTTTGAAAAACAGCTTTTGTTTCCGTTGTCCTGTGGTAGATGTAAACCCCATTTGTTTCGGACCTTTTGCAAATGGGGCCTTCTGATTTAAATTCTGTCTTGCTTGAGATAAGGGCTTCGGTTGAGAGGGCTTCAATGTCTCTGCCATCTTGACCATCGCTTTGGCTTCTTTGAGCTTCTCAGTTAGTTCTTTTCCATATAAGAACTCATCTACCTTAGTCTCTTTTAACACAGAGATTGTTTCTTTTGACAGCCCTGGTTCTATGAAGGCTTTTCTCGACACACTTTGTTTATAGAAGATCAATGCTATGATCTTACCGGCCTCAACTAAGGGTTTAGTAACACTGGCGATATCTAAACCCTCCTCAGCCTGCTGACCTTCATGGATCAAAGTGATCACGGAACCAATCATAACAAGAGCCGTACTGGCTAGTCTTTGGATCTCTTTCATATGTTTACTGAAAGACAAAAAAAAAATTTTTTTTTTTTTTTTGATTATTTTTAATCATTTTGGGTGAATAGCTTACTCTCTGGTAATAGCAAAATCTTTCATCGTAACAGAGATCTGTGGATTGAGCGCTGGTGGTGTGAATTCAGGCACCGGGGCGTATTTAGCTAAGATAGCTTCCATTACGTCCTTCTTAATGCCATTCTTACAGAAATAATCCCACCTCTTCAGTAACTCTGGGTCGATCTTGACCTCGGTAGTCAAGGAGGCTGTTGGATCATCTCCCAGCTAAAGTAGGTTAACAAAACCTTTTATTAGACTCATATCTGATTAATATGAGATAAGTTTTGCTTCGCCACTCGTGCAAATACTAAACCTATATAGTCTGTTTTCTCTGTCTTGCAATATAGCGCAAGCACTAATAGAGTATGTGGTACGTCTTTGTCTTATCACGCGTATAAGCACAGACGTGGTTTACAAGTCCTGACTTGTCGAAAGACCGACACTGATCGTATCGATTTTCTTGTTTTTTTTTTTTTTTTTAACCTATAACTTACAACTTCAAGCCAATTGTTGTCCTCGTTGTCATCTTGGATGATGATCTCCTCGACCGGCAAGTCGTTGTCCGGCGGAGTCATCTCCGCCTGCTCTTTGTCATCTTGAGCGTCCGACGCCATTGTTTCGTCGACTCGCTCATCGCCTTTTGAGGAATTCTTGATCACTTGTTCTTCTAACTTACGGATCTTTTCCTGTAAGTCCACTATCTTCTCATCGCGTTCACGACTTCTTTTCTTGGACTTTTTGCCCATTACTGACGAAAAATCGTAAAGAACGCGAGCTACTCAAAATACACGTGTTGCGCCTGGAGCACACGAAAGAAAAGTGAAGCGGGCGCGGGGTGGGGATAGTAGCTAACTCTTCGATACTCTAAACGTGTGCTGCCACGGGGGGCCAAGGGGGATACTACATTATGTGAAATGTATGAGAGCGAGGACGTAATATAATCATAACTTTATACCGTAACAGTGGTTTTCTCCAGCCTCAATATTATATTAGTTTAGTAATGCATTTCATCATCGTATATTCTTTTGTTGCCTCTTGAAAACACTCGTGAACATTTTTCAAATTTACTGTATTCTTATTATTAGCTTCAGTTTTATTCTATTCATTTTTTCTTTCTTCGAATTACATTTTAAGATGACACTATTAATTTCACAGATAGTAATTAAATTATCGATTCATATTAATAATTCCAGCATAATTTGAAAAGGTAACCTCTTATTTCGTTAAAACAATTTATTACCTGCATGATAAGTATATATATTATATGCTTTTTGTAGACTATTGTCTATATTAATTATTCGTTCAGCAGTAAATTCAATTTACTGCAGAAATATAAATTTTTCATTTCTAGATATTTATACAAATATTTTAAAGTATAGGAAAATTAAAAATTCCACGCTTTTTTTCGCATCAACTAATTACAACCCTGGGATTCAACGACTTATAATTTTTTTAAGATGGGATAAACTGAAAATAGTTTTATTTAAAAAATAAAAATTTACTTTATGTGATTCTGCAATATTTTTTAATTTTTACAATAAAAATGATTGATTTTCGAGGTTGGTAAATGGGACGCCGCAGGCCGCAGTCACGAAAACTAGTTAAGTTCAACCTTCATCAAAGAAAAGTAAAAGAGATTATGAAAGAAAAAAATAAAATAAATCAAACTGTGTAGTTAAACATGTAGAATCTTTTATGGACACAGATAGAAATAGAAAAAGAAAATCAGACAGAACGACGTGCTACATCGAAAAAAATTCCCATGTATCATTTACATTAATTTTGTTATTTTTAAATTGTAATATTTTTCTGTTTTATTATAAATAATTAAAAATATTTTAATGAATATCGGCTGTACCCTAATTAGAAAAAATATAAATAAAATATACTTAAATAGATAAAATATAGTAAATTATTGTACATAAATTATCACGGTCAATTGGATTTCTCTGTTAATTTGTGAAAAATGTATTCAATAAATACTATTACTTGAAAAGTAATTATAATATTATGCCATTTAACCTTTCAAGAAAGCATTTCGATTAAAATTTAGAAGAAAATATGCATTTATTGAATTTATTTCATAACAATGGAGTTAGATAACCCATTTATACTGCCGAGGACAGGGACACTCAACCTACTGCACGAGAAACAATGCAATGTGTATATGCATATATATACTGACAATAACTATGACATTCTTTGTCTGAACCGCTATGCTATGCCTGTCAGGCGTCTGCAGGTCATATCCTGCGGTCATATTCAAGAGTTATTCTCTGGTTATACTGCTGTGTTGCTTCAATAGTCTCAGATCGTTGACAGTTACTCGTACAGTTTCCTCTTATAAAAAAAGTGTTTGAAAAGTGCAAATAGCGACAGGTTTGTAACGGATACAAAGATTTTATTAGTTAGCGTTGATATCTCTTGCGCTTGCCACTAGAAAATATGTAATACAATTATCCTATTTTAAAAATATTTTTCAATATTAACTGATAATCGTATTGAAATGCTTGCGCAAATTTTTAACTATAACTATAAAAAATGGGATTTCGTAATAATGATGTAAGATTAGAGATCAATTTTTGTTAATACGTTTAGGTATCGTAATGTCTCAAACGTCAGTCTATAATAAGCTGCTCATTGCTCTGCGGGACAATGATTTGGATCAGTTTTGTACGAACTTTAACAGTAATACATTGCCTGAAGGATTTGATTACGATTTACTCGTAGAGGCAATGATGTCCGGATGCAAGGATTTCGTTTTTTACTTGCTAGATAAAAACTGCAAGACCAACAAAGAAGATAATGTCAATACTCTCGTGCACGTAGCCTTGACAAATGGCTGGTTAGACGTCGTGAAAAAGTTGCTCGAGCTCGACGTTCCCGTCAGTAGATGTAACAGTAGAGGCAACACCGCTGTTCACGTAGCCTTCAATAATGGTTGCTCAGAAGAGATTATTAATTGTTTATTAGAATGCTATTTTTTGGAAACATTGGAAAACATTAAGAATGTCGATGGACTTAGTATCTTGCATATAATATGCACTAGACCGAATGTTGAACTGTTCAAAAAACTTGTTTACAAAAGTGTGAGCGAAGAAGGGAGCCAAAAGATTATTCTTTCATATGATGATCTCAATGGCCAGGTTAGATTTTTAATAGAAGTAATTAATCTTCGTTAGGTTTTCATTTAATAATTCATTCTTCCCTGAATATTGAAAGTAAATATGTTATATAGCAAAAAATAGGACATTTTTAGCTGTAATAACATGTCTACAATTATATAATTACATAACTTCATAAAATTAATTATACATTTATTGATAAAGTGTTAATCCTTAGTGTAAAATCTATAATATGTGAATGGCTATAGGTATCAGAGTATGATTCTAAATTACAACCGATTTAAATTTCAAGGTATTAAATACTCCAAATATTTGTTCGTATTTATATATTTTTATATGAACAGCGTAGGCTTTAGTTTTCTATTAACAAGTTCAATTTATCTATATAATTCATACATTTCATTTATTCCTATTGCTTTAATTAGTTGATTGTAAATAATTCTTTTTGATGATCAACTATGACTTTTTAATCATTGATGAAATATTCTTTTCAATAATTTTTTATGGTGTTGAAAATGAGTTTTAGAATGTGATGCTAACTGCAATATTAAAAGATATTTAAAAATTTTTTCTTTTAATGATACAACATATTTTATAAGTGATTATAGCTGCTTTGTTTAAAACTAATTTTGTTCCGTGGAAATATTTTACAATGAAAATTCCTTATTGTACTCTGATGAAAATAAATTTTAGTTTAGTATCTTGATTTCAGAATATTGTAATTTCAGTTGTATTTGACTAGGTATGTTTGGATTCAAATACACTCTATGCTGGTTACACTCCACTTCACTTCGCTGTACAAAGTGGCTGCATTGAGATTATAAAGAATTTAATATACTGCTGTCATATTGATATCTGTAAACAAGATGCAAGTTTCTCAACACCATTGCACTTGGCCCTACAACGTCGCGACATTGACGTGATTGATATTCTTCTAGCTGATAATACAGTTTATAAGGATTACGTCAATAGGTTAGTATTATTAACTTAAGATGTTTATAGCAAATATTTGTCAAATCTAATTATACCTTTTTAGTGCTGGTTTGACTCATGTGATGGCAGCATGTGCAAGTACAATAGACAATATTGCTACCAATTTTTTAAACTATACTTACATACATGCTTGTGATAAAATGAATTCAATTGTAAATGCTAGAGTTCAGGATCTAGGAAACTCTCTTGCAGGCTACACACCTTTCCATTTTGCAGCTGAATATGGACGCTTCCAGACTGTTCAATTGCTTTACTATTATGAATCAATGATTTTTGCTAAAACCTCACAAGGATTGTCGGCTCTTGTGTTAGCCATTAAGAATAATCATCACTACATTGCACATTTGATTTTCAATTACTATAAAGCTTATAGGGAAAGCATATGCAATGATAAAAGAGATGTTATTGTCAAGGATATAATTCCATTCATAGAGAATCCAACACCTATGGCATTGTAAATTTTTAGTTCTGTTCAATCACTTTGATGTTAATTATTATTTATTTATGTATTCATTTTTATGTTATGTTTTTTGATAGAAGATATTAAGCTAGTACTTTAATAATCGCAAATAATTTATTTCTTTGTAATGTAGCTTATCATTAATTGACAAAATGTTCTTTTTATTATTCGATGTTATACTTATACTAAGTAGTATTCAAAATATAATTGTAACTATATTATTAGATAATATAATGAATATTGAAAATGTGTTTCTTTGATACAATAATAGATTGGTAGCAATATTTAATCGTTGAACGTCAGTAAAATCCGAGCTGGCTTTTATCTACGATTAATATTCATATTTTTAGAAGTTTGATATTAAAACAAAAATGTTTATAAATGTATAAAAGATCGAACAATTAATTTTGCGTTATCCGAGTTTGTTATTGTGACTAAGTATTCCATTCGTAAATAAATCCAAGCAGTATATTTTATTCATAACTGTACAATTAATCGTTTTCTGAAATTTACTTGGGGTTTTGCTATAAAATCCCTCAGATTCAGGTAAAAATCTTAATAAAAATTAGAGAAAAGTAGTAGTGGTTATTTTTGTTTACCCCGAATAATAAATTATTTTTAGGAAAAAATGAAGGATTTATAAAGGAAACCATGCTTATAGTTTTATGGTATCGATTATTATTGCTCGATTGTCGAGAAAACTTCGAAGGCGTTTGCACTGTCTCCCTAGCCACGTAACAGTGAAGAAATGTTACTCTTAATTCTACTACCATACCAGGCACTGTCTTCATTAAATGTGGTACGTTCGGCGCTACAGTTTTAAACAACAGTTACTTTTGCTCACTACCGGTAGTGTTGGTACTAAATAATCGAACTAGATATTTTTAGTGATGTTACTAAAGTTGCGATTCGCGTCCGTATCCGTCCGCATCCGTACGTATCTATGGGACCGGGGCCTAAAAAAATACGATAAAGTAATCTTAATGCACTTCAATTGCATTTATTTATTGGACATATAAATTAATTGAATATATTTTTATTGTAAAGTTTAGCTTCGGATAAATATGATCAATATTGAGAAGAATGGTAAATTGATATTTTATATGAAATTCTGCGAATTTATTTCGGTGCAGTCGGCACCGTTAATTTATTTTAAATAAATTTTGGAATTTAATTTATAAATGTAAACAAACTGTCCAAATGGTTTCAGATGAACAATGGAAAAACAGTTAAATTAAAATAATATAGCTGTTGATATGGAGAAATCTTATAGAAAGCTTGATACCATGAACCAATACGTTAAGAAAGAAACAAAATTAAATTGTTAGGCGCAGCTGATGGTTCTATCCTATCCTTATCCTTGCCTTATATTTATTTTTATTTTTTATTTTTATACTTTTTACATATTTTATTCCTATATTTATCTTTAAAAAAAGATGAGTCGCTGACATCCAGCGTTGTGATTTGTTGATGCAAAAATAGAATTTTGAATTTTCCTATACTTTGAAATATTATTATTATTATATATCAAAGAGTGTAAGATTTCTATTTTAGCGATAAATTCAATTTATGAATAATTAACATGGATAATAAACTGCAAGAATGGAAATATGTTAGTAAATTGGTTTAAGAACATAATACATTATGTTTTGAAATTATTTGTACAAATTGTTAATTTTATGACCATCTCCAATACTACAATCAATATCATTGTGTTAAAATTTGGTAGAAAGAAAAAGAGAATGAATAAAAATAAAATAGAGACTACATATTTATCTTTTGTATATTTTAAATTAAAACGTATGCGAACAAAGGAAATTAATTATCAAAATATTAAACCTGTTAAATTAGAAGAATATTCACGGATGTTTTCATAGTGGCAGCAACAAGTATACGATGTTAAATGTATTACTTATACTAATATAAGATTGGAGCCATAATCACTACTATTGAATATGTAAGTTTAGTGTTGTATAATAGTATAATAGTATAATAGCATTATTGATCTTAGGTCGAATTAATCTTTTGAATAATTTTTCCGATATATCTTGAAATGAGTAAAATTCATCGATTTTTGAGAAAAAATGGGTGCATGTTCTATTTTTATTCATCAATAAATATTGACGTATGTAGTCTGTTCTAAACAGCATGACTTATTCGTGTCCATTGAAATCTTGAAGTTGACATGTAAAAGGTTCAAATAATGTAATAAATAATAGTAAAACAGTAAAAAAAAAGCGCGCGAAGCGCTCTAAATAACACTAGTAAATTAAAACAAAAAAATTTAATAATGCAACGAGTTAAAAATCTATTATATGCGTAGCAATGTTATCTTTCTTCAATCATTTTAAAACACTTTATGAAATTTATTTATACTAATTAACTTAAACTGATTAATATCGACGGAATTTCCGATCAATCGTTATTTTGATTTCTAATTAAACAATTGGCTTTGTATAATTTAAATTACGCGCGTTATCAAAACAAAATCTCGAAATCATTCGATTATTACTGACATAAACGACCTATTTCTAATGATCTAACTTAAATGCGAGATAAACTCGCTTTGTTTACATATCATGGTATATGAATGAATATTCATTAGTTTTTTCTTCGCAGCTAGTGAATCGCTACAATGATTCGATCCAACCACGACGATCTGTTCGACGCTTTACGAAAAGACGATTTGAACACCTTCCGCAACTTGTTGCTGATGTACGGTTGGCCATCCAACACCGAGTACTCCGATTATCATTTGTTTGCGGAATCAATTAAGTTTGGCCGAAAGAACATCGCCAATTATCTTCTCAACCTCAAATGTCGTTTGACAAAACCTGGTAGCTTGAGTACTTTTGTTCATGTGGCTTTGACATACACGGACTGGAGGGATATAGTGATGAAACTGGTGAGCTTTGGTGCACCTGTGAGCACTGTCAACGCTCAGGGTAACACCGCCGTTCATGTGGCTTTCAAGAACAAAGCAGATGGAAAGTTGATCGACTTGCTCTTGGCTGCTTATGTACAGGAGAACATCGTGAACATCGCTGATTCGGATGGATTGAGTATCCTGCACATCGCCTGCTCGAGGCCAAATTTAAAGATTGTAGAGGCGCTAACGTATCGTAACACACATGTTATCATTAGTCGCGACGATGTCAATGCTCAAGTAAATTGTTTATATTTTATGTATTAGTTTCAATTAAGTTAATTGAAATTCACCTTCAAAAATAACCAAGTGAAAAAAAGTTTTGCTTGAATTTTTAAAACACTTCATTTTTCACTTTAAAAATTTTTATAATTTTGTTTTTACAATCTACTGATAACTTTAATCATGACAGGTACAATCTAATACTAGTACCTACTCTCGTTATACGCCGCTACACTTTGCTATAAAAAATGGCCGAAAGGAGATTATCAAGTTTCTAATGAAGCACTTCAATGCTGACATTAACAAGACAGATGCCACTTCTTCAACACCGTTGCATTTGGCGTTGGAACGCAGCGATATTGAAACATTGGACTGTCTTCTTGCACATGACAGAACTCACAGAGATATTGTTAATGAGTAAATTTTATTAAGAAATTTTTTGTTTGTATTTAGCTTTAAAACTGCGCAATTTTCTTTATTAACTTTGTAAATTGTTTTTATTCCATTCAAATGATCTCAACAAATTTCATCATTAGAAGCACCATTTTTATGATTTTAGCCAATCTTATTGAGATGTTGAAGTTCCATGTGTTTTAATTAATTTTATTTGTAATTGTAAAATTTACTTTTAATAATTGTATTATAGATTTAGTTTTATACTTGTATGCAATTCCTTTTAATTGTCAAAGTCATTTTTAACAGTTAACAAATGAACATCGTATTTTCCAGTATGGGATTCTCGCACTTCATGGCAGCATGTGCTGGAAGTAACACGTCAATTGTCGCTGAATATTTTCGTCTTCTTCAGTATCGCCCTTGGACAACAGCCGAATCCTTCTTCAACAATAGAGTAATGGCATTCAGTGATTCCCCGTACGGAGGTTACTCAGCTTTCCATTTCGCTGCTGAATTTGGCCGACTTGAGACAGTTCAATTACTTCTCGCTCATGGAGCTTCGTATTTTGTATTGTCTGCTGAAAATGTAACGCCATTAGTTACAGCACTTAAACGCGGCCACGAAAATGTTTACCGTTTGCTTTGGCGAAGGTATAAAGCTTATAGACAATCGATTTACGATGCCATTGATGCAGAAGAAAATGGGCGTGTTAATATTAAAACAACAAGCTCAACAGACATAAATAATCAAGTTTTATCACGGTTTTCAATTTTTAATAGTCTGGATAAAAATCAAACTGGAGTTCAGAATGAGCACTCACCTGCGCCATACGGAATTTAATAATAAAAACAATTCGACTTCACACATACTTGAGTTGGTAGAAAAAGGCAGTGATGAGCCTCCAGGTTTTAGTAATTTACGGAAACAGTTTTCTAGAATACCTTAATTTCGCCAGTAAATGTTAAGTACTTATAATTAGGAAAGTTTTGTATTAATTTTTACACCAAACAAGATTAAAAAAAATAATATAACGTACTCTTTAATGAACAAGTTATAAAATTATATAAAACTTCGGATTCGCGAAAAATAATAATAAGATTAAGACGTGTACTAATATGTTGATTGGTACATGACTATTATTGTAATTTATTGTAGTACTATTTAGCTTTATTGATCAATATATTTTGTAAGTACATAGTATAATGAAATGTTAAAGTGCGTTATTTATATGATGACGGCGCAGCGCGTGTGAAATTAAATTTAAATGATCATCTTATTTAACTTGCATTTTTACACATAAAATACAACTTACTATAACAATTAAATTAATTTTTGTCTATTGTAAACATTTATAATATTTTTTATAACAATAATGTGCACAAATAGATAAACTACCGCTATATTTCAGGCAACTATAAAGTAGAATATCATTTCTATACGTTAGGTTGTATAATAGTCTATCTGTCAATAGTAATTTTTTATGGTACTGCAATGATTTAAGCGAAACCAGATGTATAATGTTAGAAAAGCATTAAGTTAGTTTTTAATCAACGTATGTAGGAGTCAGCATATGAATCTGATGATTGATCGACGTTTTTATTTTACACACACACACACACACACACACACACACACACACACACACACACACACACACACACACACACACACACGTTTATGAAATTCGAATAAAATTTAAATAAAGCAAAATCAGTTCAAAAGTTAAGATGCCTTTTACTTTATTTTTCTCTAAATAGATATAATTATTATTTATATCTTTATTTTAAATGTTCTATTACAATTGATTCTAATTGAATATTTCCACAGAGCATAGCTTAAACATTTATAACTACCTGTTTTTAAAATAAAGTTACAAAATTATTCTTGTTTAAACTAACTGGAATTGACGTAAAATATTTTATGTAACTTAAAAATTTTAATACTGTAGGTAACGGTACTAATATGATTTTTTTTAAAGGAAGTTATTGAAATCAATAGAAATGCGTATTTGAAATAATTATCTAGTACAAAGTATATTAGTACTTTACGATACAAGTGCGGAAAAATAGATTCTTGTCTCGTGTGGCGTTTACGCCTGAGCGAAGCGAAGGTGGAAAGGTACACGAGACGAGAAACTCTTTCCCGCACTTGTATCGTAATGTACTATACCTAAGAATATGATTTTTGATAAAAGAACGCCTTTGCATATCAGGTATCACTGTGACTCGTAAGATAATAATAATGTGACAGCTGGCGACAGTCAGTTGCTTACTACCGAGTAAAAGACAACACAGTATTATACGCTGCGTGCGGCCATTAATAGATGATTTTAGTCGATAAACATTACTGTGCTACGTTAATTTTTTCAATATTTTTCACCATTATGAGTATCAACAATCACATGTTACAATACAGAAATCTCTTTGAAGCAATTATCAACGACGACACAGCATATTTCTGCTTCCTTCTCGAATCCATCACGTGGCCTCGTACAACGGACTACCTAGATTTCGAGTTATTCACCACAGCTTTAGAATTCGGCCGAAAGTACATCGCCAATCACTTACTAGATAAAAAATGTCGTATAGCTCAACCTGATAGTGACATTCATGCAATTCATTTAGCATTGGCAAATTATACTGACTTTTCCGACATTATTAAGAGGTTATTAGCACTCGGAGGAAGCGTCAGTGCTAAGAATAGCAGCGGTAACAATGCCATTCACCTTGCATTTATTAATGAAGCATCAGGACGAACGGTTGATATGTTGTTGTTAAAGTATATTGACGAAACTAATGAGAATGCTAAGAATGCTGATGGATTGAGTATTTTGCATATTGTTTGTACGAGGCCGAATCTTGTTATTATGAAGAAGTTTTTTGAGAACAGAAATCTTGAGGAATTAAATTGTCAAGTGAGGTTTGAATGTTTAACGTAAACAATAGTCGATGTAATTATATATTTTTATTTACTTGTCAACAGGTTGATTTACAATGCGACAGCAATTTTGCCGGTCAAACTCCACTACATTTTGCAGTATCGTACGGTCACAAAGAGATAATAAAATACCTCGTGACAAATTTAAAAGTTGATGCTTTCATCCAGGATGCCAATAAATCGACTCCATTGCATCTTGCCCTCAAGAGTCGGAATAATTACGTGATTGATCTAATTATGGCTTATAATTTTCCGCAAGTTGTAAATAAGGATATTGTGAATAAGTAAGTATTTCAAGATTGATGATATAAACAAATTCTTGATGAAATATTTGTGTAAAATTATAAACATTTTTTTCTAAGTCTGAAATTTGTATTTATACTGTTCCAGTTCGGGAGTTTCTCATTTCATGGTGGCATGTGCTGCTAGCAATCAAGATTTTGCAATAAAATTTATGCAAATAGAAAGTGGTCGTTCGAGAAAATCACTTGATACTCTTATCAATCGCCAAGTGAATATTCCTAAGGACAATTATGATCAGGCTTATGCAGGTTACTTTCCAATACATTTTGCTGCTGAATTTGGACGTGCGAATACAGTCCAACAACTAGTACATTTCGGTGCATCATTCTTTGTTGAAACAGCAACTAATTTGTCTCCACTCGTTCTTGCTTTAAAATACGGTAATCATGATATTGTTCGATTAATTTTTTGGTGTTATAAACAATATCGCCTGTCGATTTTTACTGACGAAGATTATAACTTAAATAAAGCTTATAATTATTCTATTGGTTCACAGGACAGTGATCATTGGTATCAATGTAGATCGCGTTGTAGCTCTCCGAATGCTTAAATTTTATTAGCACCTTCATTTGTTTATTTTTACCGAATGGCGTACATTTTATTTATACTTAATTTTATTTAAGGTGCGCTATGAAAAAAGCGGTCAACTCAAAATTAGTTCAATTAAATCGCATTTTGTAAGTTATAGATGGATTAAAGAGACAAAATATAGAAATATTTCTTTTCCTATGAAGTTTCTAAGTCTTTTCTAAAAATTAATAAGTTCTTTTGTTTGTTTATAAAAAATTAGAGTCTCGAAAGTTATGCAATGTGTAATGTAAATCATCAAAACTCTTATGAATTTTTGAAATTCCATTTTATAATACTATATTATATATCACTGTCCCAATAATGCGTATATCTAATTGGAAATCTTAATATTGATTGGAAAAAATTATAGATGTGATTTAGTGGAATGGCGTTCGTTTTAATCCATCTATAAGTTTTCAAATGCGAGTGAGTTGAACTGACGAAACACTTTTCTTCGTTGCGCGGAGCCCGCTTCTGCGACAATCGCTGTAAGTAAGAATGTCTTCAACTATTCGATAACTCGGCATATTTTTTACGATATTCATATTATATATTTAAATAAACTGATTTATTGAGGTTTATCAATTAACAACAAATTGTCCTTAGATACTGTGATGACAAAATTAACTTTGTATGTAATTATTTATAGATTAGCATTATAAACTTAGAAATATCATACGCAAAATGACATGCAGTCGCTGAAGGTTGATTAAATATCCATAGAAAGTATGTACAATGGAGCTATTGATTTTATAATAAAACCTGTATTATAATCTCTAAAAGCGAAAATCCATCCCTTGTCCTAAGGAATATTGAAAAGTAGGAGAAAAGTCGAAAACAAGTATTAGCTAATATCGCGTGAAAATACCGATACAAAATACAGGCGTGGACTAAGGTTCGAAAAACCATAAAACGCCATGTGTTAAGCAAGACCGCATCGTTCGGAAGGCGAGCTAAAAGTAAACAAGATTTCGATTGGGCTGTAAAACTCGAAAATCCGAGTAAAAAAACTCGTTTCTGTAGAATTATTGTAGTCGCGTTGACACTTCTTAATATTGATATTTCCGACTAATCGATAGATAACTAATCGAGTTATAAGAAGTGTACGACTAAAGTATTCGAGGGAATTCATACAACGCATGAGAACAAAATACTAGAATGATTACATAGAAAATTGTGGAATTGTACAAGAACAACTCTGCGTTTAATATAAAAAAAATTTCGGTACTGTACAGCATTGATATAAGGCAAAGGGCGAGGGAAAGGAATTAGGAGAGTGAGTGCAAGGTACGGAAAGATATGAGAAACAGTTGGACTTGAATTGTCGGGATGCGAGTCGTCGACATCTTTTATTTAGACAGTAAGTAACATGTTTTAGGATTTGAATTAATTGTCGTGTATATTTATATTTTCTCACTTCGATCCATTTTATTGATATAAAGTCTTCTGCAAGAAGAAAAAAACGTTCACAAAGTAATGTATTTTTATTTTCTGAAATTTTGTAAATGAATAATAACTTATCTAAATGACAGCTTTACGACAATACCTTTCGATCAAGTAAATTAATTTAATTTATTAGTATATTAAAAGTAGATGAAACTTGGAAGAAAAATGTGCATGTGTAGCACGTTCTCTTTTCTGTTTTCCTCTAATATATATATATATATATATATATATATATATATATATATATATATTGAAAGTATTACCCTCAGTAGGTAATGGTCATTTATTTATATTAATATTTACATATTATGTATGTATATATATACCTCCAATAATAATAAAGTAATACTCGTTTTTAAATATACCGTAAGTATCTATAAATTAACGATTTATTCAATTGAAATTCAAGCTCATATTTGCCATTTACGCAACATTGCAATGTGATCTTTTCTAGCTTTGTTGATTAATTCGAGTTTGCACATAAATCCAGTAATGCAGTTCAAATAGTATTTATATTAAAATGCATTTATTACTTTTTATAATTAATTTTAAATCTAAAAAAAGAGATTAATAATTCTTTTGCTTTTCACGATATCTCATATACGTATTTTAATTTTGGTATTTTAATCGTCGAGTTAATTTAAATATGAGGGGATAGGGGTCGCGATTCGCGAATCAAGCGAGTATCAACTATCAAGCACATTGAGTAAATATGATCATTGTGTGTGTGTGTGCGCGTGGTTAGTGTGTACACACACATTGTACACTAATACTGTACTCGTATGTATGTACATATATACCTATCGCGAATGTGTAGCGTTTGTTTACATCCTATTGCCGGATGTAGTTTCTTTAATTATTTCATTTTAGTATAATGTTGTTTTTTTGATATACTAGTAAGTGCCTTAAAGTATTTAAAATATCAGAAATAGTTTTATTCAGACGTAAATAAGCAAACTTTCCTAGCTAATTTTTTTACTTAAGAATTGGTGGCTTATAAGACGATAGTTAATCATGTTGTTCACTCGAAAATCTACTATTATAAGATGAAAATATACATAAAAAGTAAGATTTAAATATGAAAAAGTTGATTAAAGATACAGAACATGATTAAATTATTGTTTTTTTTTTAGGTTATGTTAGACAATAATTTTGTTGGAAGTTTTACCCTGTGAAACTTATATATTTTTTCATTTTGAACGTAAATTAAATTTATGGTGTCACAAAGTAAATGGTGAGTTTTGTTGCTATGTAATACTGCTATCTCTAATTTCCTGGAACACTTCTTATTTTTTACACATAAATAAAAGACGAATACAGTTTTCCAATTTTAAAACCAATAAAATAATTATACAATTGAATTATATTTTTATAAATGTAGTTTTTCATATCTAGCATATTTGAGACTTAAAATAAATATAAATACAGAATAATGAAAATTGGTTATAATACTTTGATAAAAATTTTCATTTAGATTGTAAAGTATTTTCACTTTCATTTTTCATATAAAAGAGTAAACATGAAAATAAAAGTAAACGTAATGTATGAAAATTTTTGAAATTTACCAGAAAATAAATAATCCATTTATAACAAATGTTATAATTATTAATAAAGCTTGCAGGCTATAGAAATCATATGAATGTGTTTGTATGGATTTATGAATGTGCAAAGTTGTTTTGTTTTTCACATGTTTTTCAGATTCCTATCATCAGTTGTATAATTTTTTCTAGACTGAAGAAAATGAGTTACTCAAAGCTGATGGAAGCTATATTTTCCGATGACAAATGTCTCTTTCGATCAATTGTAGAAAACCAACGATGGCCTTACCATCTAAAATGGACAGACTATGAGAGGCTTGTTTACGAAGCAATAATAAACAATCGAAAAAATATGGCAAATCTACTCATGGACAAAGGCTTCACCCTTTACAAGATGCCAGATGACAGCTTTATAAATAGTTTAGTGTGTCTACTCCTCAAGCGATGTGGTAGTTCTAGTGAATACGCCGATGTGATTATGAGGTATATCAATTTGGGAGCTCAAGTCTCATATCAGAATAATTTAGGACAAACAATCATTCACTGGGCTCTTATAAACGAAACTTCAGGACGTCTTATAGATATGATGTTGATGAAATATTTAGAAGAAACAACAGTGGATCTTTGTGATAAAAGTCATTTTAGCATTTTACATATTGCATGCACAAGGCCAAATGTCGATACTGTTAGGAGACTTTTAGATTGCAATAAAAACAGCGTGAATCGTTCGGTAACTTTTATTATTTTTAGTTTGTTTATAAAGCTTTACTAAAAAATAAATCTTGAATTTGAACTATAAAACTTTTTTCTTATCAGATTTTAATGAATGTCAATTTGGAAAATGCTGGTTACACGCCGCTACATTTTGCTGCTCGTTACGGTACGTACGAGATGACTGAATATTTACTCAAACGTGGCGCAGAAGTTTATGCACAAGATATCAACGGGTCAACCCCTTTACATTTGGCTTGTTACCGGCGAGACCATGATATTATTGATCTCATTTTGCAGTCTGATCCCGTCACGGAAAATGCTTCTGATAAGTGAGTACTTAAGTGATATATGAATCGTTAATAATATATACCAATTTAAAGCAAATAAAAATATAATTGTTCAGTTCTGGTTTGTCTCACTTTATGGTCGCATGTACGGGTAGTGAATCGATTATTCCGAAGGAGTATCTACGTGTCGCCGAAATTCGACCATGGTCGTCACCGACGGATCTGATCGAGGGTCGAGTAAAAGATTTAGTTGTTATGTACGGTGGTTATACGCCTCTGCATTTTGCAGCGGAATTTGGACGTGTGAACACTGTTAACTTACTTCTTGATCATGGAGCTGATGAAGATTCTGTTACGACACAAAAACTCACAGCTTCCGCACTTGCTCGCATTGCTAAACATAAGGATGTAGTTGAGATTTTACGTAAGGAGTGAAGTGAAAATTCAAGAAACTTATGATAGTGCAAGTATTGGATTTGAATTTCACTGTAACATAGTTCAACTGAAAGACACAATATATTTTTGAAAAGTAGCTATTGTTACAAAAAAAACAGATGTTAATAGTGACAATTGAAAAAAAGACATATAAAAAACAGAAGTATTAAAATTAATTTGCTTTATGGATATGTACGTTTTCAGGTTTTTTGCGATTTGATATTGTATTATCATTGTGAAAATTTTGATTAGTTTCAAGCCACTTTGAACCACTGTTAAAAATATTAATTGGAAATTATTTAAAAATTGATTTGTCTGTGATGAGTTTTTTCATTTAAATGAAGTAATTCAAAAAGTATAGATAACACTTAAAAATGATTTATTTTTAACATAATTTATGTGTGTCGGTGTAGAGTTAATTATATGGTAAAAAGTGGAATTTAATTTTTAAAATTTTTAATTCCACAAGTGTATTACCAAATGATTTTCAATTGCGGTGTAAATATAAACAATCTTCAACGATAGTACTTGTGAAAAAATTAGTTGATAAAAATAAACATTTTTTTTTAATTCTTTGACTATTTATTACAATGAGATTCTTGTAATTTTTCTTTACTTTTAAAACGATTTTGATTAAATAAGGTACAGTATTCAATAGTTTTATCCATAAATGCGATAAACCCATGTGTTTAAATTTAAACGTTTAATATGACGTCAACCACAAGAAATACATTGTCACCAATTTTAAACACTTCTAAACGTTTAAATTCAGTGACAATATATTTCTTTTAGGAGACGTCACATTTGCACACTTGAAACGTTTCAATTTAAACACATACAATTTTGAGGTTTTACTGTGAAATTAACACATTATTTTAATGTTTTTTTTCTAGATAAATTTATTATTATAAGAGTTACAATTTCATAGATAGTAAATTACATACTAGGCTTTATTATCATTCAATATTAATTATGAAATTTATTTGACATTCTATTTTTAAGTGAACTTATTTGGTTACAATATTAAAAGTTCAAAAATTAAAAAGTAGTATGTATAAATACTAATACTTATTTTTATTACATAATGCATGAAAAATCTTAAATATAAAATGATAGATTATGATTTATGCAGTGTCTCGGTAATCAGCGTAGGTATACGCTGATGAATTTTTGTATGATAATTGAAAATTTATTGATTCTGCTTTCATTGAGTAGACTGTCTTTTATGGAGCAAGCCGACTCCTAATGAAGATTTTTGGCTTTGATGAATCAACAAGAAGAATTGTTCGAAAGATATAATATTAGATTTTCAAAAATTTGACTTGAACTTTCGAGGTCCATAATCGACATAAATTTTCAAGCCTTTGTATTTTTTACTTATTTAAATCTTCCAATTGTCATATCAGATAGAGAATACAGTAATTTTAATCTGTAATCCTTACCTATCAAACAATTGGCACGTTCGATTGTTCAGCTGAGCATTAGCCCGAGCTGTTTAAATCTCATAATTTCTTGAAAAATATCAACATTGAATTAAGTATATAATTGTATAAATCTCAGGGTAAATATACTATCACGCTGACATTGTAGAGGTGTTACCAATAGGCATAAAGAACTAATTGAAACTTTTCAAGAAACTATAGACTTTCTTCGCGAAGAACTAGAACAAATTGTAACGCACGAGTGTAATCCCGCATCGGGGAGTCGGTATACCGAAGTAGATTACGCGAGCGATATTTGGAGTATCAAATTGAAATTTATAATGTGCTTGCATATTCAATTTCGTAAAATCAAAGACGCAATCCGTACGGTCCGTAAAAATGTTGACATCTGCCAGCGTAATAAAGCAGATCAGTCTCTAATCAAAACAAACGCATGGCTTTATAGAGTACTCAACTATTCCTGTTCTTATACTACTGGTGTCTTTGCTTATTTAGTGGACATTGCTTGTCTACATATTTACCTTATTTATTCTGCGACCGTTACGGCTAGACGCTGTGAGACGCTGACAGGCGACAAAGTTTCGTATCTTCAGAGAGGGTGGGGGAGTCAGGCCAAAAACCGCTTGATCAGGGGGCACAATGGTTGATTTCGGTTCAGTTGAGCAACGAACCATATCGTAAAAGGTGGGGCTCCTTCGACGTTTAAACTTGAATGCAGTTGACATTGCATTATATTTTCACTCGCATCATTGGCTCTCGATACTTAATCCTCGTCCTTTTCATCAGCTCGTAAACAGGTTAGTAAATATACGCGCACATTTGCGAATTTTCGTTTATATTGACGGTTATTCATTTTGTATGGCGGAGATTTCAGTTAGAAACTATTTTAACAGAAAATGTAATACATCCTAATAATAATGTGAAAAACAAATAATACCCGATGGACTGTTAACGAAACTAAATTTTCAGCTAGATCTGGCCAACATGTCTACCGAAAATCTCATTAAGGCCATGCGTAACAACGACGTTGAGCAATTCCGCGCCATTCTGTCCGAAAAGTCCAGATCACACGAACTTCAAACTTTGGACTACGAGAGGCTGCTGCACAAGGCTTTGAAGCTTGGGTGTAGACGAATTGCCAATATACTCCTTGACGAAAATCACGTGGTGGCCAACGCCAACAGAAACATCACCGACGCTTTGCTACACATGGCCGTGAAGAAATACGGACGTATGAATCAGTGGATCAACCTGATCGTGAAGATGATAGAAAAATTACACCCTAGATTGTCGTATCAAGACGAGAATGGAAACACCGTGGTGCACGTCGCGTTTCAGACTTTTGCTAATGACAGATTAATAGATTTGCTGCTGAAGGCCTATGTCGAGGAGACGGTTCAGAATATTATCAACGGAAGCGGCTTGACTGTCATGCATATCGCCTGCACAAGAGGCGATCTCGATGCCGTTACCAAACTCCGTGGCGACGTCGACGTGAACGCTCAGGTGTGTGGTTTTGTTTATTTGTGAATTTCGTAAAAAAATTGACGTGTATTCTTTCACGACTTTCACAGGTCTTTCACGACTCCGAAACATTAGAAGCTGGTAACTCCGCTCTTCATTTTGCCGTTGAATACAAAAAATTAGATATTGCAGAGTTCCTTTTGAAAGATAAAGCGAACGTGAACGTACAAAATATTCATGGCTCGACTCCCCTGCACGTGGCGTGCGATCAACGAGACGTTAGTATGGTTGATCTTCTCCATTCTTATGACCAGATTAATAGGAACGTCAGGAATCAGTTAGTTTTAACGTTTCAACTTCAATCTCATCACTGAATATTCCACGTGACAGCTCAACTAATAGCTTATATTGATTGTAGGGTTGGTCTCACGCACTTCATGACAGCCTGCATGGCTACCGATTCTGCGGTTGCAAAGAAATACATACTTATGGCTGAGGTGCTGGACGAGATGTCACCGGCCCCCTTGATTAACCATAAAGTAACGATTCGGGACACCTACCCGTACAGCGGCTACAGCCCATTACACTTCGCTGTTGCATACGGGCGCACCGAAACGGTCAAGTTGCTCTTAGAGCACGGAGCTGACTGCAGTGCTGTTGCCGATCATGGGGTTACGCCTCTTGATCTTGCTGAGGAACACGATCATACAGAGATCTGTTCGATTTTGACAGAGCATATACGGACGGTTCGGGCAAAACTTGATGTTAAAGAGGCAGAAAAAAAGAAATCCTTGCCTTCCACTAGTCAATCCGAAGCAAGTACTAGTGCTACTGTTTCTCAAGAGCCCCAACCAAGCACAAGCGGTAGTGCACCGCAAGCCAGTATTCCGCGCGAGAGAATACCGGGTACCGACTATTACGTTACTGGCCATAACCCTTTTTCGTGCTCCGTATCTTAGTTTGCTTTGATAAAATTCTATTCGTTTAATATGCTGACTTTTATTTTAATTTTAATTTTACATGTTTCGCGTAAAATCATGGAAATGATCGACTAATCAAGTATTCGTTTAGACAATTGTCTCAGTTTTTAATGAGGTTCGGCTCGTGTATCAAAACGTTATGTTAATATTAATAGAACTCACGGTAAGTCCATGTGTTTAAATTTAAACGTTTAATATGATGTCAGCCATAAGAAATACATTGTACACCAATTTTAAACACATAGGATTTTACCGTGATTATTATATGTGTTATGTGCACGTCATATTTAGTGTGAAACTATACGTCTCATTTTTAATTAAATCATGTTCAACGATTTTTATTAATACTCGTTAATGGTTAACGATTACAGGTATAAATAGAGTCTTCAAATAATATCGATTTATTTGCAACTTTTGAATCAATTTCTTTGTGAGTATTGCTAGTTTTCAATCATGTATGTATGTCATATATACTATGGTAACGATGTTGGTATAATTTTATGTATTATAACCAGAAATTAATTTTTATGTAAGATTCGTTTGGACATGTGATTATTTTTAGATTGATTAAACTATGATTTTATCAACGTTATTTTCTTTATTCTCCAGTTATTTTACATAGTATAACAATAGCTACTTCCCTTGAGTATACGTCATTTATGATAATCAACATTTATAACAATAAAACGCGCATCACAATTACAGGAGCTTATTGCTCGGAAGGATTCTTAATGTTACTGATAAACAGACTACTCTCCTTTCTTCGATAATTATAGGCATTAAACCTCATTGAATTGTAAAATATAGCTGATTTAATTTTTCACAGCTGGTTTATAAAAATTATCCGAAAATATGTTCAACTACATTGCGGCATGATGAAACTTAGATTCAACTAAATTGTACGTTATAAATTTATGCCACTTGGAGATGAGAATAATTATTAAGAATTTATAAGCGATACCTCAATAAATACATTACAACTTAATGATAAAATTTAAGATTGATTTTTTCGTTGAATAACAGTAGAAAATTCAGAGAGTATAAGAGTTCAAAACGAAAACTAAAATTTCAGTTCGCCTACAGTCGACTATGTGTGTAACCTTAATTGGGCAGCGATGAGTCATAAATAGACAGTATAAGCGTTCTTTTCTATTTGTAATCACAACGGAGATAGTAGATGCCTATACTCCTATATCTATCTTCGTGGGACATCGTTTGACTAGTTCTATATTGTTCTGTTACCATGCGAAAGGTAGATAATCAGAGTGCGACATTGGTACAGCAATTAATAATTTGCTTGTGATAAAGAAGCCATTTAATTATACGTATGTGGAGTCATTATAATCGTTGTTCTTAATAAACACGCTTCCACATTATTTTTCACACTTACTGTCCCTCGAAACACACTTATCTTTTAAAAAGTCACGCGCCAAATACTTATTGTACACATAGCGATATGCCTCTATCTTCCCTTCTTTTCCGGTCGCTAGTCGCGCGGATAACCGAAAAATCATAAATAAGAGCTGCGCTTGAACGTATCAGTGTGCCTCTAGACGTCGAAAGTAAAGGAAATCTTGAATAACGGAAAATGAAGCTGCTTGTAGTTTTTTTGTTGCTCATTGCTGTCACCTTGAGTACTGCTAATTGTAAGGACTTTTAATATTTTTAAATGTTTTTTTTGTATATTGTTTTGTGATGAGATGATATAGTATCGCACGCGACTGACTTAGCCTCTTAATTTATTTTAATCATCGGATTTTATACGAAAACGCTTCGGGTTGAAGTCATACTCTAAAAATCAAACATGATATCAATCTCGTGCATTATTAAACGCATTTTCTTATGTTTCAGTTATTTCAAACATCTTGCCGGAAAAATGTAACGGTCCCCAAAGCGTTCTGTGCTCCATCAAATGTCTGTCGAACAATCACGTTTGTCTGAAATCTAGCGAGAGTTTAGGCTACACGTGCACGTGCTTGTAACAACAACGGCACACTCATCCGGTCAGCATCAGAATAATCGATTCTCATCCAACAGACGACTAAACGGCAGTTTCAAGCCCATCGACGATTACTATTTTTCCACCCAGATTTCAAAGTATCATTATGACATATTGTATGAATAAAATGTATGAATAAACAGTAAAATTTAATTTATAAACTTATGTTTTGTTTTGAAATTCGTAAGATTAAGAAATGTTTTATCATTTCGACGTAATTTATGTCTAACCTAAGCAGTAAGAATTGTTTAAAAACTATTGCTACAACTTACAAAATATCCGCGTCTTTTTTTTCAGAATAATGTTATAATATATAATTTTATTGACTGTAAACAAAGTTATTTAAAAAACATTAATTATACAAACAAATTTTTACTGTCAGAAGTTTTTTATACAGATTTCACTTATTTAAAAAAGATAAAGTTAATTATATTTATCTAATGAAAATTATTAGAAAAAATTGTTACTCTCTCTCTCTCTCTCTCTCTCTTTCTCTATACTCAAACATATACACACACATTCTACCAAAAGGAAAATTAAAGTCTAATACTGAAAATCAATTGCATTATCAATGAAGATAGTCGTTTATAGAAGGTCAGGTCAATGTATAAGGACTTGTAATTCCTCGTTGTCCGTGGGATAACGCGCGTATGATCTAGAGAGATGTTTTTGTAGCGAGAAAAGTGTAAAGAAAAAGCGCTTGATGAAAACTATAAGTAACGAAGTAGGGGAGAGAGCATTTAGCTACAGCGAGAAAAGAATTCTCATCTCGATTTTGAATTTTCTCATCGTGCTGATAGGTAGACTCGGATAAACTTTGATTATGGTGGACCAATTTTTACAATTTAAAAACGAAAGTAATTCTTTATTCATATCGAAGCAATTTGTTTTAATTAAACACAGAAAAATTGTTGTTTGTAAAAGTTACTTTTTAGCATACGCTTAATTGATACCATAATGTTAAGTACACGCAGGTAAAAGAACGCAGCAGGATCTCAGCGCTCGAGCGGCCGCTGGGATTCTTAGAACTAGTTTTTTTCCCTACAGTAGGATAAATGCTTTTTTTCAAGATAATTAGAGCATATTCACTTATTCCTTCGGCTACTTCTCTAATAGTCTTTTTCAGGATAATTGGCAACCTTTTCAATCTTCTGGAGTATTGTAGAGTGTGTATTCCTCTAATCATCTTTTTTAATTTATCAGTATAGATTTTTGAAAGAATTTTAATTTTTACTGGCATAATTATGCCGAAACATAAGTCAGTGGAGAATGACAGTGTCGATAGTAGCGTTGATAAAAACAATAATTATAGGGTTGAAGATGAAAATGATCATGAAATTATATGGGTATCTAACGATGATAACAGATGGTGACGGAGAAGTTGATGAAACTTCTACGTTCACTGATACAGTAGCCTTATCTTATGATGAAGTGTATCACAAATTTTTCGCGAATGAGAAAAAGTTAGAAGGCTCACAAATAAATAAATACGAGTAGAGATCAAGAAAAACAATTCAATGTTCAACTTGAATCAGAAATATATAATTTTGAAGCAATAAAACAAAATGTAACGGGAAAAGAATTCGAGTATTATTTGAAATGTTTTTTGTGATAAAATGAAAGATAACATTAATGAAGCGACGGCTAAAAAGGGTTTTGAATTAGATCCAGATCATTTCAACAGATTTTTAGGTATTATTATTTTTTCTATTTCCAATATTTGTGAAAGCTATAGAGATTACTGGTCGACTGATGAAATGGTGAATTTCGATATTGTTTCAGAAACGACGAGTAGAAATTTATTTGAAAAAATTAAAGCTAATTTTAAAATTTCGAAAAAATCGGATAAGACTGATAATTACAAAGTTTAGACGGTTAGTGTAATTTTAAGCATTTTTAGAGAAAATGTAAAACAGTTTGGGTTCTTTCGCTCTTCTTTATGAACACATGAATTGATGATTACATTTTTTTGTCGCACGCTTCTAATAAAATTTATCAAAGACAAACCAATACGTTTTGAAATAAAATTATAGACCTTTTATATTTCTAACGGATTTGTTTTAGAAATAGATATCTATTGTGGGAAATGATGGTCAAAATGACATGAAGTTTTCTAAGCAGTGATGAAAATGCTTTCTGTTTTTCTAACAATAGTTGATAGGAGTGATGTAGCTAAATAATATCTATATTTTGATAGAATTTTCACATCCCCGCTCTACTAGTACATTTAAAAAAACAAAACCTGCGTACAATAGGAACTGTTAGAGATGATCATGTTTTTACAAATGAAATGTTCCCAAAAGTGTTGGATAATTCAAGTAAAAATCCAAAACATTAAAAAAAATTCTGAACAGAAGACATTGATAGATAAACATAAAATAGATAAAAAGAAAGCTATGAGAGGATCGTATGTTTGTATGCCATGATAAAAACAGTAGTATGAATTACATTACGGTAATGTACTCGAAACCAGTGTCAATATTATTATGTACAGCAGTTGACGTTACACCTATGATTTCAATGAAACGATTCGATAAAACAGCTAAACGTAAAGTACCATTTCAATTGAATTTCCTGGAGCATTCAAGGCATATAATAATTTATAGGAGGAGTTGATCTTCATAATTAATACTGCAGTGATCTAAAAACGAATATTGGTACAAAGAAATGGACATGGGTTGTTTTGTTCAGATTGATTCAGTTTTCGTTGACAAATGCTTTGATTTTGTATAATATGGTGAACAAAAAGAAAATGACTAGTAAAGATTTTGCTAACAGCGTTACAAAGTTATATTTAGAGTAACCGATTGAACAGTTATCAAAGCATTTGAAACTCGCAATACCTGATTGTGAATGAGGATGTATAAGGTGTACCGTAAGAACAACATGTTATTGCTATGAGTGCAAAAATAATTTCTGCGATACTTATTTCAGAGAGTATCATCATATCCACAATAAATCCACAAAGTCTTTATAAAGATTATGCAAAGCTAGCAATAACTCCAAGAAACGTACGAATATTTATTACGAACTATGTCAAGAGTATCTATGTGAAAGTTGTTTTGATCCTTACTATCTTAAAAAAACAGATGTAAAATTTCTTTCACTATTCCATCAATTATTTTAATGTCATAGAGGTTTATTTGAGGTCACGAATAAAATACTTCAATATGACTTCGTTTTTTTAAATGGGATATATAGGAAATATCCAAAATTCAAAGACGAAACAATCACGAAACGTAAAATCGCAGAAATCGTAACAAGAATCTCTCAGCTCAGCCTAAAGTTGATCCAGCGAACTAGCTGCAGACTGACTGTTTGATATGCTCTCATAATACAGTACCGAGGCTGCCCTCACGCCACAGATTCTCTCTCCCTCAGCTAATGTCCTACACCGAGTTTACACTCGATCAATCGCAGCGTGTGAAGCTGTCCGTTGCTATAGTCTGGGCTTATCACGTAAGCTTTCTAACTGTCGTTTTACGACTAGCTATATTGACGAGATCTAACTAGTCGTAGCACGGCACGTCGGATGACCATTGCCTGCGAAAAGTCATGATAAGCGCCGATGGTACCTCTCGATTTATCTTTGTCTTTTGTAAATAGCATGGTGTGAACTATCTGGTCTCCACTGCTTTTATTGCTTTGAACGCTTACTTTGTTAGGGTTCCGTAAAGTCAATTTACTTCTTCGCCCAGATACCAACTCTCATTATTTGAAAAAGTGCTGAGATTATTATTGCAGACCCCCTGGTCTGTTTTTGCCGATTATCGAAACGAATTGAATTGTTACACCTATGTAAATTATATCAAAGGTAGTAACAAGAAATAATGCGTAATAGGGAATAATTTTGTATCACTATAATCATTTGAATATAGTACGTTAAATTTGAATATCCTACAAGAAAATATTTATTAATTAATTGATTTAAAGTTAAATTTATTTTTATTCACATCTTTAAATTATTTTGCGATATTATCATGTGAATTAATTATTGATGACTAATCACTATACATTATTATTGTTTGTTGAAATAAAATAATTTGCATTTTGATTCTTCATGCTTAGATTTTTATTTTAAAAGGAATGTATAAATTATTTAGCTCAACCAGTTTGACGATAAATACACAACTTGAAGGTAACTTGAAGGTAACTATGCTTTGTTGAAGATAAACAATGAAATACCTTAAAACAAAATTTTTTTAAATAACAAGTCACTACAGTTACAAAATACAATCATTTCAGCAAATAGAATCTTCATCGTCGCAGCTCGGTTATATTCCTTAGCTATTTCTAAAGTAGTATACCTATTTAGCACGTAATCGTGTTTTATAAGGCTATCTACAACTTCATCAATATCGAAGGATACCTCCGTATTTTGGTTGTTTGACAGGAAGTCGATGACAAATTTCGGCCTACTCGACGCATCCGCTGCCATGAAGTGAGATACACCGTGTTTGTAAATCAAAGAAAAATTTAAAATTCCGTTCGGAATGCACGATATTACAAACTATTTTATAATAGAATAGGTTAGTCTAGATAATGGAACATATTTTTTAATTTAATTTCATTCCTTAATTTAATAAAGTAGCCAAAAATAAAATGACATAAAACCAACCACTATCATAAAAATAAAAAACGAAAAAAGCTGGATATAGTTTTGGCTTGTATATTCATTTATGCTTAAGAAATATGAGAAAAAAATCAAATGTCTTGTTATATGTGTTGAGACTGGAATAGAAATATAATTTTTTAATACCCTCGCTCCAGTGCTATGTGTATACAAGGTGTGTTCAAAAAGTATGATAAATTCTTATTTTTATGAAAAATACTTATTTATTCATCAATATTTATGTTATCCCCCTCAGATATAATACACTTGTGCTAATGTTTTTTCCAATCTTCAAAGCACTTCTTGTATAGCGTTGAATTCTTCCCGCAATTTTTTCTTTTCTTTCCTCAATCGTTCCAAACCTCCGTCCTATCGTGGGTTCTTGAAATTAATTTACTTCGTAATAGAAAAAAATTAAATAATTTCATTAAAATCCAATGCGGTGGATAATACTGTATCCAATAAAAAAAGATTGTATCAAAAATTCATTCTTCGGATCATTTTATCAGATAACTTGTAGAAGAATAAAAAATAAAACAATAAAAGAATAAAA